CAAGAAGCTATTTGAAACAATTTACTATGGGTGAATCGCCCTGGCGTGGAGTATTAAGCTACTAGGAACAAGTGCATCGCTTCTAGTAACAAGTGCCTTACTAGTAGTAACAAGAAGCACCATTTACTATGGGTGAATCGCCCTGGCGTGGAGTATTAAGCTACTAGGAACAAGTGCATCGCTTCTAGTAACAAGGGCCTTACTAGTAGTAACAAGAAGTAAATTGTTTCTAATAGCTTCTTGTCTTGTTACTACTAGTAAGGCACTTGTTACTAGAAGCGATGCACTTGCTCCTAGTAGCTTAATACTTATGGGTGAGTCGCCCTGGCGTGGAGTATTGTTGTTTTTTCTCCGGTTCCGGTTCCTGGACAGCCAATTTCTCCAAGGCGGCTGTTGCTCTTTGGTGGGCGAAGCTTGGGCAGGTGTCTCTCGGATGTGTGGCCTGGATTGCAGGTGGTGATGAGGAGGAGAGGAGGACGAGGAGGAGGAGTTTCTTTTTTTGGGGGGGAGTGAGGAGGAAAACTGGTGAAAAGAGGTGCAGACTGTTTGAAGAAAAACAGCATTTGCACCTGAGCAAGTAGAGTGTAGAGGGATGAACTGAACAAGCAAGTAAAGCGCAGAAGAAAATGTGTGTGTGTGTGCCAGGCCATGTGTTGGAGGGCTCCTGGCTGGACTACCCAGCCCACTAACTGAGGAATATCCATTGGTGTGTATGTATATACCCTAGAAGTCTAAAAACTATATGTTGCCCCACTGAAGTAAAGGATGTTCCAGTTCGGGTCACCTAGTCAGACCATCCTTTGAGCAGTCGACTGGACTCCCAACTTATAATGTGTATGTCATATGTTCAATTGTGAAACTTGGCGGAACGATTGGCTGCTGTTCCTTTGCTATTGCTACATGGATGATTTATGTTGCACTTTGGGGGCAAAGGACTCTAGTGACTCTAGTTGAGTCTCTTCCGGCAACTGTTTGGTTGCAACATATCAATAGCCTAGGGTACCCAAGTAAGGAACTTCCCTTGAGAGGGTACCAAGTAGATTGGAAGGTGGAAGGAAGGTCGTTTTCCAGGTCACCCTTCTGATCAGGCCGGTTCATTCGCCGGTGAGGAGCCTTTGTTTGCAACTCCGCCCCGAAACTCGAACAGTCCATCGACCACGCTAGACTGCCAGCCACCCCATGGGACTGGGATGAATATGCCGATCAGTTGACCCCTGAAAGGAAAAACCCACCCGTGTCCTGATTGGATCCTGATTGGGCATATGCCAGTGCGGAGTGTCAAGCTTCGTATCCGGTGCTGTTTTCGTCGCGAATTCGCGAGTCGTTCCAGGCACATTCTGCAGCTCGAAGTCCAGAAGGATCACAGGAGAGGCGTTGTCTGAAACAGCCGGAAAAAGAGCAGGTTCCTTAGGGAAGAGTCAAGAGTCTACCTTTCTTCTGGGGCAACGAAGTACATCTTCAACAACCATGTGACACCATGTGATCCTGTTTGGGTGTCCTGTCAGACCAAAGGTACGCAGAGGGCTGGGTGGTCCAGCCAGGACACCCAAACAGGATCGGATCGGTCCAGTACATTTCATATATGGAGTGGTTGGGTACTATGGATTCCTCTCTTTTTTTAGAAGAACGAAGAAGGACACTGACACCTATGAACGTCCTGAACAAGAAGCTAGTCACAAGGGCATTACTAGCTAGCTAAGGTTGGTCAGAACCCGACGCCCTTCGATCTATCCCAGGCCTCAGGCCAGGGTACCCCAGGTGTTCCGGGTCCCCTCTCAGGTCACGTTCCACCTCTCTTGGAAGCTACTAAGGTGCCCATGATCCACTCACTTAGGGACTCCTAGGGGCCCAACAAACCATCAAAAACCTGGTGTTCCCCCAAAAACATGGTGTTTTGTAGGTGAACACCTTTACGTTTCATGGTTTGCTGCAAACAACCCCTGGTAAACACCAGCCCTTTGTGACTCCTGGTAAGGTGGAGTTCCTCTTCGCCCATGCCAGGAAACCGGACAGCGAGGCGGACTCCGACAGCGAGGCGGGAGGGAAGGGACACCCGGTGGTCACACCCGGTGGTCACAGAAAGGTGACCAGGAGATCCAAACGACAGTGAACAGATCCGGTGTGATTAGATGTAATACTGTATGATGTAATATCTATTATTGAAGTTATCTATTTATAGTTTATAGGAGTGAACTTATCTCTTATAAATTATACATAGTGTTGTTTTTCCTTTGTAAGCATTATATGTGTTTTTGGATTTGGATATTTATGTAGTGAATGTAGTGTTGCCTTACAAGTGCTTGTTTTTGTTAATTGCTAGTGATGCCAGGAGCTACTAGTAGCTTCTTGTTACTGGTAGTCTGGGGGTCTTTGGTATTGTATTGTCTGGGGGTTCGATATCATCAAGATTCTACATTAACACTTCAAAGGAGAAGATGGCCCAAATGGAATGTCCCGTTCGACGTTTGTCCGACATGCAGATGCGCGGCTCGCGCGCACCACACACACATGAACGAGCGTTTGTGGTGGCGTTGTTATGTTGACTCGGCCGTGCTGCCCGTGCCGTGCAGGCCGAAGCGATCTTCTTTGCCTCTGATTATCGAGCTGCCTGCCGTGTCACTTGTTTGCATGTGAACAACACGGGAGGCATGAGAATGAGAACAGTGAAGAGCTGGAGTCTGCATGTGCCGTAAGTGCATTTGTTCGATGAGTCATTGCTAGATTGAACTGAACATCCTTCCTTTTGAGGTGGTGGGAGTGAATAATGCAAGCAAGAGAGAGAGAGAGAGCGAGTCGAAATTCTTTCCCTGGTGGCACTGAGTCGGGCAAGCATGCTGCAGCACAGCCCAAACCCCTTCAGGAGAGGGGCCACGGGGCGCGTGTGCGGTCACACGGATCGGGAAGCGTTCAATAAGCCCATGAGCCAGGACCAGGCGGCCAGGTTTGAACAATCCCAACATCGAGCCAGACACCACCTGGTTTGGGACTGCAGGAGATGATCAGGTCAGGGGTGGTTGATTTCAGGGATCAACTCATGGGCCGAGTATTGGGGATTCGGATCGGGTCACGCCGTGGTGTGAGTTGTCTCGGGTATCTCGGGTGCCTCAAGTCGTGGAGACATCCTTGAGACGGTGATCTCAAGAATCCTTGATCTTGAACCTCCAAGAACACCAGGATGGATGTGAAGAACGTCACGTAGCTGAGAAAAGCATTGGGGTTTTGGATGTGGATCTCCAAGGTTGAAACGGAACTCTGCTCGGGGTCTGGTTTCAATGGTCTGAGTCAAAGCCACCAAAGCCACGATCCCCCAGTGGGTTGATTGAACATGCCTGGAGTAGAGGGAGTAGACCATTTCGGCGGAAGGTTTACACTTTGGGATATGGGGACGATCGAAGGAACCTGTCCAAACGAGCCTTTCATCTTCGACTGCTGGCACTTGTGCTGCATGTTTGATTCCGTGTGAACGCAGTATATCGCAGTGTGTAGATTGTTGTTCCATATACCAGTTCACTGGGTCCACTCACTAACGTGGACCCTGACAATGGGTTGTCTGGAAGATGGTTTTCCTCTATCAACCAGTGGTTTTCAGGGTCCATATCGTCGACACCAGGGTGTATGTAGATGATTGTAGAATATTGTAGATTCCAACGAACTCGGGTGACTGGAGTGACTGTGACTGGGACTCTATCTGGATGGACTGTTCACAGGAGCTCGTGAGGGCCTCACCCGGTGCGGAAGCCCTGGGAGTAGGAAGCGGGCCTCGCGGCGCGTACAGCGGAGGTGGGAGGAGGTGGGAGTGGGTGGTTGCCTTGGCTCTTTGGAGTTGATCTAGGAGCTTACTTTTGAGAGTAATGTAGAGTTATTGAGTAATCAAACCTCCCGAATTGGATGCACGGACTTGCGGACGGTCAGTCATGACGCGCGCGCCCACGCCCCCCTTTCTCAGGTTGTCTGAGAGGTTGGGGTGGGTGTGAAAAAGGAGATGGTGAGTTTTGTACACGTGTGAAAAAGGGCCACAGGGCATATGTACACATAACTACAAACGAACTGGCATTTGCAACGAACTGGTACGGGCTTGACGAGCATACAGACATCCCGGGACCCAAGCATACAAACTCATGAAGGAACCCCTAATTAGTAGCTGGGAAGCTAATTAAATCCAAGCTCTTCTTTCGGGCCATGTGGTTCCTGACAAGACGCGAAAACCCTTCCCTTTGAGGGGTATCTCGGGCCAGTCTGGCCACGGCGGTGGCTGACATGTGGCGGGTATAGATGGAAGAGCGAAATCCGTATGATACGGAGGATTTGTGGGAAGTGTGAGCACAATTTTATCACTTATCCACTTGTATACATCGGGGGCATTAGGCAAATCGGCAAATGTGGACGGCGAGAAATTCCACAACGCTGGTCAATGAAGCCCAGTCGCGTTAAGCTTGTTGCCCCCTGCTGTGAGTATGTTGGTATAATCTTCGTATTTGAGAATGTTTGTAAGTGCTTGACAATATAGCGAAAAGATGCGAAAAGATTCAGAGATCACTCGCATGGACCGATATTTTAGGGGCAGTAATTGGACTTTGGGGTCCAGGATATCATGTGCATGCCAAACCTTGTCTGCCTTAAGGTTAATCGGAGGGTATCTCTGTGCCCATAACATGAACGACAGCGTCAGTTCGACCCAAGTAATACCTGGGTCATCGGGTAAACGAGGTGCCGAGGGACATGGCCATTGGATTTGCTACCAAACGTGTTATATTAATGCCCCACGTACTTGACCAAAACACTACCTTGTGGGGTTCCGGTGGCTGTACGTATAGGGTTGCAGGTAATGGCCAGTGGGACAAAGTAGCGATTATGGCCTGAAGATGATCTTCAGGGCAGGCGTGTGTATTCCCTCTTCCAGCCTTATGCCCTTTTTCTTTGGATTCATCCATGCTCATTCTAGCCAGGGCTAAATCAAGGAGGTATGCAAGTTTTTTTTTTTCCGTGGATGTTCTTTTCATCGATGTAGTATTTCCTAACTTCATGACACAACGTATCAAACTCTAGCAAGTCCGTCTGTCGAGTCTGAACGGCGGCTTTGTCTGCACTTGCATTTCCATATATGTTCCACAAATCTTCATAGGATTTGGCATCATTAAGGTCCTGGTGGGATTTAATTTTGAGGGCATACAGGCTATGTAATTCCCACATCAATGCAAGTCTTTGTATCAAATCCCAGTGTGCTCTTTTGTGTGGGTGCTGATGGATCGTGTCTTGCTCAATGGACTCGACAATGCTCATGACGAACTGGGAATCTGTACAGATGCCCACCAGAGCTTGTGGTTGTGCATATATTGCTTGTTCTGCTGCTATTACGAATGCGTAAAGTTCTGCTCTGTTGATGGTCTGCAATCCCGGGCAATGCCCACTGGCGGTAATGCGTACTGTCTGAATGGCCGGGTCATGCTGGTCGGCTTGATGGAGAACTACAGCCCATGCTGCACGTGCCACATACGGTGAGGTAGGTTCGTCGCATGATCCGTCTGTATAAAACATGGCCCCTGGTCGAAGTTGTGTGGCTAGCTGGTTAAAAGTTGTGTGTATGCGTAGATGCATGGATTGACGGACAAGAGCGAGGTCTGGGGAATGTACTGGTAATGGAAACCAGCATGTTCGGGGGTGGTTCTGCATATACTGTGTGGCCTCCACATGTTGCATTCTGATGTGTTGGAAAGCTGTGCAGTGTAAAGTTTGGTGTGTATGGGTATCAACTTCCCACACCAGATACACTTGGCATCTTGGGCTGCGCTCCATAAGGCTATGCCCCCGTTGCTTTGCCACCCTGCGGTCATGGTGAGGGCAAGATTTTTTCTTTGCCTATCTGTTAGACCGGCAACTAGTTTATGTGTCGTAAACGAATCAAATGGCATGTGTGCACATCCTTTTCAATGTTGGATCTGCTGAAAGCATTGCCAATCCCACGCAATGCGTGCTTGTCTCTTAAACTTTTTGGTAGAGCTATCTCTGATATTAATGCGCAGACCACCAGGGCCGATGAGGGTGGCATTGGGTGTTAATTCCCAGTGCAATTTCTTTAAATAATAGGCAATTGTTGTTGCTGGACCTTTCACCTCTACGTCAAAAGCGAGAATGATGGTGACGAATGTTTGTGCAAGAGCTAAATTGTAGGAAAATAGTCGTCGCAGGGTAGTCAGTAAGTCAGTAATGACATAGAGTTCTGGGTCTTGCACACGTGGTGTAAGATAATGCATTGCTACATGGCTGGATGCATGCTTAAAGTCGCCGACTAGAACATTAGTTGCTGCCTGCCGCAGTGCCTTAAAATGCTTCTCGCCAAGTGGCATTCCGAGGGTTCCATAAAACAAATACGGCCAAATAGCCGTTTGGATTTTTTCTCCTTTCTCATCCATGCTTAAATTCAAACGTTTGAGTCTATTGCACCTGGCAATTGCGTTATCAATCTTATCCCGTAAGGGTCCTAACACCATTCTGTTCGAATATTGCAACATGCAACCCAGGTCATGCACGTGACTTTTAATTGCAAACTGGAAATTGGGATCCATGAGGAGGACTGAGGTAGATTTCCAAAAAGATTGGAACTGCTTTGTGGTAGCCCAACACCATGATTTTGTAAAATCAATCTATAATCTTCATCTTAAGTGAGTGAATGAGATTTAAAATCTTTATCATAGCTTGCATGCTATCTCTTTCGTCCATAATTACTCATGAAGCTCCAGTTGTCTGCATACGTGTATGGATGCAAATTTGGCGTCTGAATTTTGCGATAATATAGGTAGCTGAGTGCTAACATACCAACAACGGACATGCTGTCGCCTTCTGGTAAGCCGGTGGTGGCGCCACACGCATCTCCTAACGAGTTGCCAGACTGTAGTGCTCTTGTCATCCTTTGTAGCGACAGGAACCAAAAGTCACACACATCTGCAGCCACACCTAGTCGAACGAACAGATAACGGATAACACGCCTGGGGATTAAATTGAATGCTTTGACCAGGTCCATTGTCCAACCACCCCATGCTGTTCGTGCAAGTTTCGATTGTTCTATACGAGAGAGCTGAAGTATACTGAGGTCTCGTGCCGATCGTCTCGGCAGTCCTCCACTGATCTCTGGTGGCCATCTATTGGTCCATTCTTGCAATATCTGGTCAGCTATTAGTTTAGATGTGGTGCGGGCGATGTAGCTTAGAATAGTTATCGGCCTGCCATCACTAATGGCTTTTGGTTTGTCACACTTGGCGAATAGAAGTGTTCTAGCTTGCATGAGCTGCTTAGTGAGTCCTTTAGACCATGTTGCATCAAACAAATTTGACAGGTCTGCTATCATGGTCGGCGTAAGGGCTTGAAGTTCCTCCGCATGCCAACCATCTGCTCCGATAGCTCGGTGCGATTTCATCTTCTGAATTGACTGGTAAAGCCTTTGAGGGTCATTATATCCAATGTCTATCATGGGTTGCTGTGGTATGAGCAGGTCAATTTCTTGAAAGAACTCCCGCCATGGTGCATCACTCATCTGCTCTGCTTCGGTGTCCCTCCGCCAAAATTGGGACCAGTAGGTATGGAAAGCACGAGACATCTGGCCGATCGAATAGCCATGTGTCTGCCACTGCAACTTTGCCTGAACCGGGATTGGCGCTTGAATATCTGCAACGTGCATGATATTGTGGTGATTGTATTTTACAGTTGCAGGAATATTATTAAGGGTAATCTGGGCTCCTATGGGGATTGGATGAGGATCGGCAAGACGAAGGACAGTCTGTCCTTTTTGACTTCGGCATAGGGTTACTTGGGTTTCTATTTCGGTTGGTATATCATGTAGAAAACGCTGCTCTTTGCCTCGGATGATGCGATACGCGTTTGCGTTGTTGGTATGGGATTTGGCAAAATCTAAGCTGTGACGGCGGTGATATCGTCGTAGGTTATACTCTTGTCGAACATGCGCGTCCGCATCACATCTTGTGATTTGGAATGCGTCCTCAAGCCATCCCTTGGTTGGAATCTGACAAGGAACGAAGGGGATGGCTTCAAAAGAAAGTATCCAATTGATCCATGATCGTCCGTAGCCTTGTGCTCTGACGATGGCTGTCCATTCTTGCTGTATTTGTTGTTTTTGTTGGTCTGTAACCGGTTGATGTTGCACCTTATCCAATTGTCTAATGAGCGTACCTAGTCGTCGTGTTTGTCGGCTTTTGAGTTTAGATTTGCATGTTGTTGCTTCTACCGGCGGTTCATATCCATCTGTTGGATCCCTACGTATGGTTCTGGGAGCAGTACGTATGAATCGCGTCTTTTTACATCTGCCAAAAATTTCTTTGGGAGTTGTTTGAATGGATTTCGAAGTGGGTCATCGTGATGTTGCTGTCCAATCGTCTGTTGTACTGCCATTTCCACTCCCTTGGACCAGCGGCGGTAAGCACTATCGATTTCGTCCTCATTACTGAGGTTAGTGAAATGCATAGCTCGATGTCTGTGTGACTGATAGTTGCGCTCAAACCTTTGAGTATCTAGTGGTATGTCACCCCATGAGGTGGGTAGGTACCAGCATCTAGAAATGATCTGAGTCCCCGGAAAACGCAAATGCAAATATAAGGGGCGGTGATCAGGGAAGATATGTGCAGGTCCGACCCATATATCCTGAACGAATGGTATCAGTGCCTCATGTATTATAAAGGAGTCATTGCGGGTACTATTCCGACATGTCGGCGGCAATTGCTTGTAAAATCTTCGATGCGCAAAATGAAATGCTTCTTGACATCTACTGTTCTCGAATGCCGTATACGACTGGAAGTCCCGTACTGGGTTGTTGAAATCAGCTGCTATTAAAAATGGCATATTGGTTTTGGAACAATGTTGGTAGATTTCGGCAACTTTGGGCCTTGATATCTGCTGTTCTGCCTGCATAAAAGTATGCCGTTACAAGCAGGACTTCAAAATGACCAACAACAATTCTTTGTGATATGCGCAATGTATCTTCTAGCCATTCAGGCAGTTCAATGCGCGGAGCACGATTGTATGTCTGTGTAATGAGGCAGTTCCCAAAGCCTCGCCTCGCCTGGCCATGTCTTTAATATTGGGGTTTAGCGATGCCTTTTGTTGGGAAACAGGTGGACCCAATGGACACGGTAATTTGTTCTGGAGAGATATTTGGTAAATTCATACTGGATGGTCGAGGTGACTGATGTTTCTACCAAGGAATTAGTGTCTGCATCCAAATTCACAATCTCTTGGTGCCTATCTGATAATGCAGTCGGGTTGAGGATGGCAAAAGTTAGATCTTGTTGCGTATTACCAGGGCCTGGATTGAGGGCCTCCCCAAAACGTGTGCCCTTATGCCAATTCCATTCTCCTTGGTTTTCTAGCCAATATTGTTGTAGCAACGGAAAATAAACTGCATGGCAGGTGTGGTAGCGACAATCCCATGAACTGAAGCCCGTCACAAGCTTACAGCTCGATCTTGCAGTTATTTTCTCGTCAGGGATCGGTTGAATGAGGTGTGCTCGATTGGCTTGCATGCAAATGAATTAGAACGAGCGAACCAGCCGTAGGCTTGACCTTGTTGGCTTGACAGCGGTAAAAAGCAAACGCACAAAACTGGTCTTCAGATTCATGCGGGCTAATGCTGCGACCAGTGGGTATCTTTTGTTGGTCATGGTCCACTCTAGCGTATACCATGCTTGGTGGCACTGAAGTTTGTGCCAAGCGTCATGTCGATAGGCACATCTAAGGCTAGATGGCTGTGGCTTAATGCGGTTGGATTTAACGAAAAGGAAACCAGCATGATCACCTGCATGAGTCACCTCTGTCAATCATGCATATCATCGTCCTCTCGCTCCTGCCGCTTTCTGGAAGGTCCCCCCCCAGAAGTGCCTTCAGCTGTTGGAAATCGTCCCGAAAGCTTGACTTGAGCGACTCTTGTGTTTGCGTTAATGCGGCTGTCAAGGTACTCTGGAAACTTTCCTTGACATCAGTGATTTGGCTGTTGACCTCTTTTCTAACTTGTTGGAATTCGGCGTGCACTTCACGTCGCCTGGAAAGATTTCCCTCCTCATGTGTTCCTTTTGAAGTTTGAAAAAGCTCTCAAAGCTGGAGCATTTTCCAGGAAGGCTGAAAAGAAGGTCAGTACCTTCGAAAAAGCCTCAGACTTGACGGCAAAACGTCGGTCGCTTGAAGTCACTGGCGCGCTGAGGCATCCTGCTCTAGCAGCAGCACTCCACGCTGCTTGGATGACATCTTTGGCAAAAACGTCGATGTCAGAGCAGCAGCAAATCCTCCGGCATTCAGATCTCTTCGGAGATTTGGGACTACGAGCTCCCTACAGGAGGTGGTCTACGTACAAATTTTGATGTGTTTGAAGGAGATGTTCAATTCCTCCGAAAATCTTTCATGCTGCAACGCATTGATGCTTTCTCCGTTGCAGCTTTCATCGACATCAACTGCCTACCTACCATTGATTGTCAAGGCAGAATTGCCAAAATTGGCATTTCGATTTGCATCTAGTGCTGCTCAATTTCCAGGATCAGGGAAAGCAACTGTGGAAGCAACAAGTCTACTTTTCAGTGACATTGATGTTGCACTGTTTTTGCAGCATTGTGAAGCACACAATGTGACATTTCCACAGGAATGGCAGCCGTACTTGTACGGAGGAGATCTCACGCTAGGCCCAGGCTCGATCAGATTGTTGAACTACCATTTGTCTGTCTTCTGCTCCGATCCAGGATTCTACTCAGACATCACACTGGAAAATGTGGTAGAATCATCAACTGTCGAGGAAACAGCTGCAAAAGCTCTGAAACGCAAAGCTGAAGGCATCGTGGCAGAACCAGCGAACAAGTTGGACCAAGATGCATTTGCCAACTTGGTGGCATCGACAGCGATGGCCGTCCTCACTACTACCGCCGAGATGCGCAATGACACAACTGTTGATGAAAAAGACAGACTACCTGTAGAGATCTCAGAAGAGAAAATGGTAGAAGTCACAACAAAAGCATTGGCTCCTCTCACTCAGAGCCTAGTTTGGACTTCTTCGCACCGAGAAGACGCACGTGCAGACATCAAGCACGAGAATGTCGAAACAAGAATCAAGTCAGGACTAGAAGAAGCAATCAATGATATGATTCCTGACCGCGTCGACAGCATACACGAAATGGGCTGCAGAGATTTGGTCAAAAGCAAAGCAGCAAGAGATTTGCTCTACAGGAAGTGATGACGTTTTTCAGGTCAAAGAAGATGAATCTGTTTTCTTTTGGTGAAGGATTTCTTGCTTTGGTGAAAGAACGTTGCCGCCAAGCTTCAACTCACAACAGGCTTCGCAGAGCTACGCTTGGTAGATTGAAGGCAACAAATGCAACGATCGACGTCGATTCCATTCCTGACAATCTACCTTCAAATGCTACAGCTCATGAACATGCTGGCAAAGTGATCCTCAATGACGAACCTTCACAGGAAGATGTTCTAGAGGATTCACTAGTGTCAGGAGACGTCGCTGGTGTCACCAAAGGCACCAAAAGAAAACTACAGATTGCGCTCAGCTCCAAGAGCCCTGATGATGAAATGAAAGTGAAAGATGTGAAGACTCTTGAGCACCAAGGAAAGAGAGCGCAACTAGTTGACACAACCAAGAGACGTGTTGTGATTTTTGTGAGGCAAAAAGCTCTAGACCAATTTGAGACTGAGGGACCTGAAATCTTTGTAGATTCAGGAATTCAGAACAAATCATTTGCGGTAGACAAGGAATCAAAACCGCAAATCAAATACACAGAACAAAAGATTGCAGCAGAACGCATTTCAAAACTTGGCGTTCGCAATCCTCCTGGCTTTGGTCGCAAAACAAAGAATTTTCGACCAAAAGGAAAGGGAAAGAGAAAAGGAGCTCAGCGTTCATCCGGAAAAGGAGATCGCTACTTTTCTAGCCAGGAGTCGACAAGAAAGCAACGTGATGAAGAATTGGAACGTGATCTTGGAGCCTACTTTGATAAAAAAGACGACGATCAAGACAAACTAGAAGATCAACGTCATGGTCTTGATGAGAAGATCACTCAAGAAAGCTTTGAAAACTTCGCTTTGTGTCTCTTTCTAGTACATCATCACGCAGAATTGAGTCATCTAGATCGAGAAATTTTGACATCAAAAATCCAATCTAGAATGTAGCCTCATCTACAGAGAAACAATCAATGAAGTCATTGATGTTTGTAGATTGAGACACACTTTTCACTAGAGATTCGCATTGAACTCCGACACAATCTCCAGAAGAACTGGCATGAAAAAAACGCGTAGCCAAAGATTTGGCAACATGAAATGTTGAGTTCCAATGGATCTCAACTTCGATCTACTGGGTAGATCCAAAGATGGTCTCGAATCGACCCGAATTGGATTGTAGAAACTCTTGAAAAGGGGCAGCTTTGTTATACCATATTCATTATACCGGTAGAATCAAGAGTCTACATTGGGGTTGAACTCAAACCCCAAGAAGCGCAAATCTAAGTGCAGGGGTGTGCAGAGAACATCACCTTCCAAGGTGGTCATTCTCATGAGTTTCGACCAACTTTCGGCATACACCCGCATCCTCGGAGTAGTTGCTTGTCGCAATCTCCAATATGTCCCTACTAGACCAGGGACCTTGCTTGACCACCCAAAATGAACAGAACAGACTACAAGGGAGGTCAACCTACAAGGGTTTGGGCCTCGAACTTGTGGGCGAACGCAGTTTATACATCCCTTGCTCATGTGAGCGGGTATGATAAACGAGGAGTGAAAACATGCAAAGTATCATCCGTGTATCTACAAGAGGGAGTATGTACGTAGCGAATTCCACCGAAGCGGTTCCAAGCTAGTACTGGGCATGCACCAGCAATCACATGTCGGGGTGGTGTTTAGTCCCATCCAGTGAGTGGAGTAGCTGGGCACCCCGACTTCCTCCATGGATCGCATCCCTTTGTGACTGCTGGCATGTTCTTCTTTCAAAGAGAGCGTCGGTTTAGCCTCTCGGCCCCTTCGTTGATGGGTTTGAGATGAACTCCGCTGGAAAGGGGTGGAGGAAACTCCCCAAGCACCTGCTATATAGGACCTAATGTCGTCTCTTGATTAATAAGCCACCCCATATGAAGAGGTTTTTCATGTTCAAATGGGGTGGGTTTATGAATCAAGAGTCTACATTAGATCTCCCGGAACCCAAAAGCACCCCAACCTCCAGAAACACGAATGCCAACCAGACGTCCCTTCCCGCAGCCCGAACCTTCCCCACCGGCCCGTCGACTGAACTCCACACCGAGAACCGCGCCAAGGTGAGGACGAGGACGAGGACGGAACGGAGGAAGACTCGGGCTCGGAGGAACCTGAGAGGCCAGGAACTAGGGCCTTGGAGGTGCGATGGGAGATGAACAGAACACAAAAAGAGAACGAAAGTATACAAAAGTGGTCCCTTTCCTGGTTAGGGTGGGATCGACCTGGGATTCAGGGTGAAGCACCCTGCGTGCAACAGAATTGGATACAAGTCTTCCGATCGTCGGGGGGTGAGTACAGTCATGAGCAACCACAGACGGAACATCACGGAGCGGCCGCGCACACCGCCAGGTTGAAGGCCGGTACGCAACGAGCCACCTGGCATGTCAGAGGGGTTTCAACTGCCACTGTCTTGGTCGGGATGCTGCGATGGCTCAGCTCCACACCTCTTGGTCACCGTAGAGATGAAATTCATCCACAGGGCGCGTCATGGTTCTGATTTGGGCACGATTCCTTCAACCTGGAGCCCTAAAGACCTAGGTACGGTCAACCGGGTCGGTTGTGCCACCCACGGAGACCCGCAGCATCCCATAGCCATGTCTTTGAAAAAACCGCAGGTGGTAGAGTCTTCCGTCTTCGCACCAAACGCGCCCTCAGCACGTGCCCATTCCTCGGTGCATTTGGGAAAGGATCTCCCTATTGGTCAAGCTGTTTTGGGTCCCTTTGTGTCCTGAAGGAGCCGGTTGGAGTGGAGACGGTGATGGAGACTACCGGCCTCTTTCATCAAAACACTAAGGATTTGGGGGGTTCACTCGATTCTCGTTTGAAGACCCATATATGCAAAATACATCAACATATACCAACATGTTAAATTATCATATATTATGTTTGAACTGGTTAACTTCAATTTGTTGCATGCAGCCAGAGCCTTTCCCTCAATTTGCTCTTTGGGTGTGTGTGTGTGTGTGGCACTGAGTCGATTCGCTTGGCCACTCATCATTGCATCAATTAGTGAAGGATGGGTAAAGGCCAGGTCGTGTTATGATTGTTATGGCGGATGCTAGAAGGACCTGGCCCCGCGCACACCAGTTCCTACCTGTCCATCAACAGTTCCATGATCAAAGGCCAGACATGATTCTTTTATGGATATGATATGTTAAGCCTATGGCAAGCAGAAGAGGAAAAAAGATATGATATGTCAGTTTGCTCTATATCAAATGGAGTCGATGACCCCCCCAGGTGTTCTTCTACGCCTTGTCCCTCTTCGCCAAGGCGATGCCTTGCAGCACCCAAGACGTTCTGGCTCTGGCCACACAGGTGGGGCGAGAAGAGTGGCGACAGCGAGAGATCCGACGAGATCACCCTGTTCTTGGCGGAACAGGCGGTCACTGACCCTGTTCGCTGCACCAGCACCCGTTGTTTTCTTCGTTTGAGGTCTCCGAACATGGGCTTTTTTGGGAGACAGGTGCGGGACCTTTTCACAAGTGGTGACCTGGCAGGTGGTCTGCTAGCGCTGCTAGAGCAACCATGCATGGTGGCAGAAACGGTCTCCTTCGCACGACGCCACACCGATCACGTCGGGGGATCCGACCGAAGAACTCGGAGAAGGGGGCGAAAAGGAAGAACTCGGGTGGGGATCGAACGATGGATGAGCCCCGATCCTGAAGATCTGAAGTCGGCCGGTCGCACCGCGAGTCGCACCATCCACTGGATGCCGGAGATGAAACAGGGGAGATGTCGGACAGGTCTACTTCACCCTAGTGCTGACGGTGAGTGCTGAGGTGTGTGATGCATGTTCGGTGCGTCATCCTGACTAGCCTTCATTGGACAAAACACCATCACATCCCAGCGCCACAGAGTTCGGGTGCTTATTGGATGGACAATGACAGGCTGGCAGGGAGGGGTGGGGTGTCCAACAAAAACCAGCCCGAAACTCCCGAAGGGTGTTGGTTCATGTCGCTTCATCTCCTCTACGGCTTGGCCTCACCCTTCCATGTGGAAAACGCGTCCGCGACTTCCAGCGTCCGCCGCCGGCCCCCCGCGCGACGCATGTTTCGCGTCGCGGTCCGAGGTGACGATGACCCGACGAGGCGACGCGGAGGCGCGGAAGCGGGTGGGAGAAAGACAGGTTCTAACTAAGAGACCGTAAATAGGAGCCGGAAAACCTGGGTACCTAAACTCTAAGAAGTCCAAAGACCATTTTCGGCACCACCCAAGTGAAGGAAGTTCCTTTTCGGATCACCTAGGTCGACCATTTGAAAAAATGGTGGACTGCTAGGGTAAAGGATGGTCGAACTAGGGTTCTTCAACCTCTGGATGGGACGAAGGTGCCCAGCAGCGGTGAAGGGCTTCCACCCTCGGTAGTCGCTGGGCTTCCATGCCGCGACCTGCGACCCGAAAAGCGTTGCGTGGTCACGGTTCCAAGTGCCGTTTGATTGTTCCGAGGTGGGACATGGGAACGGCCGGTGCAGACTGAAAGGTCGAGTCTTTGGATAAATGAAGAATCGATCGAACGTCCCGGAGACACGGAGTGACACGGAGTGACATGGCTTGGGGAAGTGGTCAATCAACCGTCTACATACCGTCTACTGTACAATAGAAGATGCCCGCTGGGCCTATCGCACGAGTGAATTCCTTCCACTGGAAGAAGTGCTGGTGTGGGCGATGGTCGACCAGAGAACTGGGATTCTGCAGAGGGATGTCAGAGAAATCTGGGGGAAGTTCCATGTCGGAAAACTCACCGAAACCGTCCAACGAGTGACTGCCAACTGCCACGTTAGCTTGGAGCGATTGTGGACTTCCAGGCCGAAAACCGCACCTTCCCCAAGCAGGGCGCCGAAGCCGCTTCCTCCCGCGGTGCACCGGCTCGCGTCGCGAGCGCGGCCGCGGTTTGGGGGGGAGGACCTGGAGCGCAGGGTCCGGAGGACAAGTCCCCTATCAAGGCTCTGAAGATCCCAAAGAACCGAGCTGTTTGACCAAGGAGTTTGACACGATGTCACGCCATTTCACGCTGCAAAAACCAGGTTTGTAATGGTCTTGGAGGTCGGGGGGTTGGAGTTTTGGATTTGCACCGGAGTTTCACCGTGAATCCTGGGGCGTGGGTGGCGTTTTTTTGGTGGGTTTTTCCGGTTCCAAGAGCTTCGAACTTGGGCTCGGACCCGAAAGGTCCTCACTCGTATCGACGAATTGGTTTTCGTTCTATGTCTGAGAGACATCACTGCATGGATGCGTCTCCACATGTCTACACACTTCGCACTTTGTTTTTGGGTGTGCACCTGTTTTTGAATGTTTTTGGTGTTTTCCTTCCAGGTACAAGTCTTTAGTTTTCTGGCAGTGCACAAGTGCACAAACAATCAATCAGGACAGCCAGCCCATGTCATGCGACGTCACCTGGAACCTTCCGTTCTCACCTTTGAAAGGCCGGTATAGAGATTTACTTTTGGAGGAGAAGGAGAACCTAATAGCGTCCTTGCCCCTAGTAGCGATGCCAGGAGCCCCGATCGTAGCTTCTTGTTACTACTGGGCTACTTGCTCCTAGTAGTATGGCCAGGAGCCCCTAGTAGCGTCCTTCCCCCTAGGATAATATTACCTATACATTGCCCTGAAACCATCCCTAGTGTAGGTAAATATGCCATACACATCCATACACTATTAGCTTGGAGGCCATGGCTAAGAGGTTGGAGCCCATCGCTATCGGAGACGAAAGAACCAGAAAAGGAAGAAAGGTGAAGAAAGGTCGAACATATAGCCGGCAGTCACAAGTCGCTCGGGGTGGTGTTTAGTCGTCCCATCCAGTGGGCCGTGGATGTGTTCAGGGGCACCGACTTCCTCCGGCACCCTCCAAGTTCGGCACGCACACCTGCTAGTGTGACTGCTATTGTGACTGCTATTAGGTTGGATGGAGTGTTGGGACAACCGCTGGATGTTTCTTCTCGGATCGTCCCGGAGGTGTGGATGCTCGATGGCGGCAGCCGCAAGCCCTCGAAGAGCACACGCCGCCCAGGAGCAGGGCTGAAGAACTGGAAGGTCAAGTCGACCATGGTCCAGATGGTTGGACCGGTACCTCTCATACTCTCAGACCCCCGGGCCACGGGGTGCTGACTGGAGACCCCTTAATGTAGTCTCTTGATTTATAAACTTCCCCCCCCCCTCAACAACCAGGGCCTCCAATATAATGTATAAGAAAACTAATCAAAGGACCAACATGAAAAGAATCATTATTAAAATCTTCTTGGTCTTCTCTGGCAATATTAAAAATAAAAGGGAATCAATGAAATCTCAAATTGAAGACATTTGGAATACTAAAGTAAAAGGACATCAATAAAGTGGAAATGAATTCTCAATATTTTAATGGACATCTCAATCCAAAGACCTTGAAAAGCATCCAATCTCAATGCAAATCTTCAACTTTTCAAGAGCTTAGGCTTAGGTAAGTAAAGCAAATCAAAAGGAAAAGAAAGGGAATGAATACAAGTTTACTTAAAGCAACATATGTTTTAAGCCTGAAATCCCTAGACATTATTCTAGGGCCCGCCCCTAAATAATGTCAGAAAGCTGCTTGCTGGACTACCCCCTTTGCTTGAATGATGTTTTTTGTTTTTCAATATTTTTGAATAAGGGATGTTGTAAAGAACGTGTGCACTGACTTTTGGAAACTTTTGGAAAGCTTAAAGACTAAAGAGCTTAGGTAAGTAAAGCAAATCAAAAGGAAAAGAAAGGGAATGAATACAAGTTTACTTAAAGCAACATATGTTTTAAGCTTGAAATCTCTAGACATTGTTCTAGGGCCCCCCCCTAAATAATGTCAGAAAGCTGCTTGCTGGACTACCCCCTTTGCTTGAATGATTTTTTGTGGTTTTCAATATTTTCGAATAAGAGATTTTGTAAAGAACGTGTGCACTGACTTTTGGAAACTTTTGGACCGCTTAAAGACTAAAGAGCTCGGGTAAGTAAAGCAAATCAAAAGGAAAAGAAAGGGAATGAATACAAGTTTACTTAAAGCAACATATGTTTTAAGCTTTAACCCCCAGCAAACTCGAAAGGAAAAAAGTAACCTATAACAATAAAACATATTCCACTACAACTACCCCTCTAAAAAAAAGACATTATTCTAGGGGGATTTATAAATAAGAGGACCACATTAACCTCTGTAAAGAGCTATAATTGGACACCCCGAAACCGGGGGCCCTGGTATATATATATATATACACATATATACACCCTGGAAGTCAGTCAAGTCAACCATGTTCCAAATGGTTGAGCTGGCTTTGTCGTGTCAAACCCCTCAGCAAAACAATGGTTCTTCGGGATTCAGGCTGGTAAAGGTGCATGCATGGTTTGACTTCTTAAAGAGCTGGGAGCCTCACTGGTACGTTCTTTTTTCAGGGTGCTACGAGGACCCGAGGGTTCTTCGTGATTATATGAGGGACTGGAGCTTAGTAAGGAATGCGGGAACGACCCCCCCACTTTAGATACCCTAGCATCCATTGGAATGATTTGGAATGGATCTCTCATTCCTTGCTCAGCAGTCAGTTATGTATATATAGATGGAGGAGTCCTCCAAAGCTGTGATCCTGGCTTGGTCAACGAGTTCTATCAATCCTACAACGATGGATCGGCAAAACGAGGTGAATCACGCAATCAACACCTGATGCATGCACAGATCAGTTGCGTGCGTGCTGTCCCTTTTCGAGACCTAAACGAGTGTGTTGAAGACTTGGACTTTGAGGGCTTATCTTGGACTCCCAGGGCTCACACTGCAAATCAACATGGACCCTGAAAAGCACAGGATGGTAGATGAGTGGTTCTACAGGGGGGCCATGGTCGTCTTGGTCGTCTGCAGCCCTGCTTGCGCCTTTTGGTAGCTCAGAAGTGACGGCTCCATTCCGCTGGTGGATGTTAGCACGGAAATGGCCAGGCCGCGGGCAAACCACACAGCGGTGTTGCAGGCAGGAGACGTTTCCTTTGAGGGTCAATTCACCCCTTTGAACATGTGGTGGTCGCCACTTAAGGCAGAAATGCATCAAGGAATGCTTTTGAACATGGGTTCAGAGTCAAAATAATCATGTTCATTGAGGACTGCGGAGATCCCAGCTTTTCTGAGCTCTTGCCTTGGAATGAGCTTGACATGGCTCCCTTTTGAGAAATCTCATGTTGAGCTTGATATGGCCGTGGGTCAAAACCTGGAGCCCGCTTCGAAATGGTCGTCCATTCTGTTCATGTTTCTTGGGTCAACCAGGTAGGTCCTTTGGTTTGGACCCGCAGCCATAAGTATGAGTGGGGCACCAGAAATGAGTCCAACTGGATGCGTTGTGCTTGCGTCGGTTTGGTCCAAAACCGCTGCGAAACCGAAGAGGAAAAGCTAACAGCGACGGAGCCGGCCCTGAAAGTCAAAGACGATGTTTGAAATTGTTTTTGGATGACCCAAAAAGGAATTTCCTTTACTTGGGTGGTGCCAAACATAGTCGAACTGAACTTCTAGGCTAGGGCTTGATTACAGGTTCAATCCCTGCCCCTCGTTAAGCCTCACCATGACGTAGTGGGCCTGCTAGCTTTCGTCACCAACCCTGGCCTGGAGCGCCAACCATCAAGAAATTCTAATATATAGGGTGAGTCATTGATGTGAGAGGATGTGAGACATCCTCTTGATAGATACACAAGTACCCAGACACTCCATGCATGGAATGTATACCTGGGCCATGCAACGGATGTCGGACTACCCAGCTCACCCAGACAGGACATCTCGGGACAGGACACCCAGACAGGATGCTCCAGGCATCTCGTTCCGTTCTCATCGCTACTAGTAACAGGTGCCTTACTAGTAGTAACAAGGTTCGCTAATAGAAACAAGTGCCTTACTAAGACTAGTAGTATCAAGAAGAATTTAAGTAGAATTGTAATTACTAGCAAAGGAATCTACTGGGACCTTTTGCTGGGGCACCATGTGCGCTGCTACGCTCCAAGCCTGATTTGCTCCAGGTGCCCCTGGTCTGTGGCGAGACACCTGCGGCCCAAGCCTCGAGTGCGCATTGGTTTGGGAGACCTACCCAGCAAAAGTGGAGAACCTGTCCAACCAACAGAGGTGGGTCAGAACCCTAGTTCGGCTATCCTATGGGTCCCGCAGATTTGCCGGGTCCTATTTTACGGTCCTTCAACCTCTGTTGGAACTGTTGATTCCCGGGATTGGATCCCAACAAGAAGCGGCCCAGCAAAGGCAAAACAATGCAAAACACCCTCGATTTTCCAGGGAAGCAGCTCGGAGGCAGAAAGTTTGGGGAGCAGAAACCAGTGCGGGCTGAGGTGATCGGTGGACTTGGTGGGTTTTGGACGACAGTCACCATGGGCAGCAAGACTTTTTCGAGGTCCCGCTGTTCTCGTCTCTACCTCCCGCTGCAAGGTGCTCGTGTATGGCGGCCTTGGTGATGGTGGGTGGCGAAGCTCAGGGGCGTCAGCGGACGGCGGACGGGGCGCTAGGAGCAGACGGGTCGCGTCTGGCGGTCTCGCTGTGCTAATACGCATCGTCTTCGAACGCCTTCAGAATAGGAAACCCACCGGCCAGGCATCCTGGCCCATCCGGCGTCAAAAACCATGGCCAAACCAGTGAGCGAGATGGTGCCAAGATGTGGACGTAGACTCTTCATGAAACACAGCTTCTGGGAAGCCATGATGTGAGTAGGCACTGAGTTGGAGGGACTTTTGGAGGGACTTTTGGGATGTTTTTGTTGATATTTGTTCACTCAAAACATCTCAAAACCCCTCGTTTGCGCTGGGAGAGAAGAAGAAGAGAAGTAAGTTTGGAGTATAACTTCTCATGTACTGTACAAGATGCTCAGGATATTCCCTTCTTGGACAGCGAGATGGAAGGCACAATCCCTCACCATGCCACATGCTTCCCAGCAGGTTTCCCCTATTCGTTGTTCGCCTTCCAAGACCAAAGAAGGGTTGACCCTCGTTTTGTAGAGTATACACTCCCGAAAACTAACATAGACCCTGACAATGGCCCCCTGGAAAAGTGGTTTTCCTCTACCAACCAGTGGTTTTCAGGGTCCATGTTAGTCTTCCAGGGTGTAATTCTTTCAAACAGCTGGGTGCTTCGGGAAAGGTGCTGCCCCTATGATCCCCTCGCGCACCCGCGCGACCGGGAAGCCGAACGCAGAAACCGAACCGGCAGCGACACCGTCCGGGCGATTCCGGACACCGTCCGGGACGCGGCTTGGATTCGACGTGGGCGTTCACAGCGCGAGGCTCCCACTGGGGGACACCTTTCAGCTCCGGATCCTGGAAACGGAGGAGCTCTCAAACACCGGGGTTGGAGCGTTTAGTGGGAGAGACCGGCAGTCGGGGGGGAGAAGAAGATCTGCTGATTGAACATGAATGTGGAAGGTTCCAAAGACTGCACTGCTGGGAGTATGTTCGGTGGTGGGTGGATGCGTTCGGTGGTGAGTGGATGGCTGGCTGTTTGCTGTTTGCCTGTTTGCCTGCCCTGCCCTCTCCTGCCCTGCCCTGCCCTGCCCTGCCCTGCCTGCCTGCCTGCCGCCTGCTTGTGTGCATCGGGGGTTTTGGCAGGCTCAGGACTATATACACTGTTTCCTGAAAGCCTTGACGGCCCCTAGGTACTTGCCAGGTACTTGCTCTCTAGGGGCGGAGCCCCGCCTACATGTTCGGTGCTTAATGATGGTCTTCTTGAAGACCACGTTAAGCGCTTCCCCCCCTGCAGTTGTAATGTGAATTCTCGCCTTCATGTGTGAGTGGACGTTGATTCTGGACGTTCGGAACATCACGATGGACTTGGGCGAAAAACTTTGTTGGAAGACGCCAAGTCCAATCACCAATTTCGGGGCATGCTCATTGCTGTGCAGGGTGGCGAGCAAGTTGTTTGGTCCAGGGCAATGGGGGAGATCCACCAGTGTAGCTTTTGCCCAGTTGTGCGTGGGTGGATGGATGGGTTGTACATTCCAAGAGAGGGTAAGTGACCTTATAGGACCCTACTGGGGTACCTATGTCACCAAACCCCCTCCATGGAGTCACCAAAGGACTTCAACCGCCGTAGTTTCGTGATCTCGGTGAGAACCTCTTTTCTAGCATTTCCTAGCGCAGCTTGCGCAAGCGGCGATTGTTTAACCCCTTGAACGTTACACAAGAAGGGAAAACAGAAAGCGTACAAAGGTGTCTAAAAGCTAGTCTTTGTATAGAATCTTTAACGCGTGGCCGGCGGGGTTTGAGCGTCACCAGTTTCTTCACCGCCTTCTGTGCATCCGCCTTCTTCATATTTCGCAACTTGCTGCGCTGCATGGATTGGAATATCATGCTGGGCGAGAAGAGCAAGCTGGCGTAAAGACAGTCATCCTTGCTTCCGACACGCGCTCACTGAAGGCATTTCGTTGCGTTTTTGTCCAAATTTGTCCATCTTGTCAAAAGTAGCCATTGCTGCACTGAGCGTGAGCCTTGATCCGCTGTCATCAATCTCCACCCGCTGCGTAGTCCATCAGGGCTAAACGAGATTCACCACCAGGAGAATCTGCCAAGGCCTTTGAGTTCTTGAAAAAGGTCTTAGAAGGGCCGTTGGCCCCTGCACAGAGCCAGAGAAAAAAGCAAAAACAATTCAAAAGCCACAACCAACCCGCCAAAAAAACATATATTTATGTATATGACACAAACAAACAAGCAAGCAAAAAAATGACAAACAAGGACAAAGACAAACACACACTCGGGAAAAGATGCAGATGAACTGAAACATCAGCAGAGCTTCCAGGTTTCGGTCTTCAGAAGAACACCAACACGCTGTTCTTTTTGTTTATGGTGGCATGGACGTGCCATGTCACCAGATGGGACCACACACCCCAGAACACCAATGGGAATTCTTGGTCTGGCTGCAGCGGCTTCTCGGCTGCCGGCTGCTTTCGTGAAGGTTCCCGGGCAGGCAAGAACTTGCTGCAGATCAAGTCGGTGAAGAAGCACTTATGATTGACGGTCACTCCCTTCCCTCAGTTATCATTCACTCCTGCCGGGTGCAGAGAGCTGCTGCTTGCGCTGGAGCAGAATTTGTGAGAGAAGAGCAAGTGCTCAATTCCTTTTTCCGGGCCAGTCGAAATTAGCTGGTTAAACACACTGAACAACCGGTCTATACTTGAACAGTCTTGTTACTTGGAGACTGCTTGTTTGGATGACCCTTCCAAAATCCAAAACTGGTAGAAGCACAATTGCTGCACATCAGCTTTGGAAGCGGGCTGAGCATTCCTGCACTTTTCCCACCTGTAGCACATGCGCGTGGCAGCCATCTTTCTCGACCCAAGTCTACACCATCCACCCAACTTTGCACATGGGTAGGTTGTATTTTAAGGTGTTAACCCGATGTTTCTCGTTTGCCTCGGATTTTCGCAGCAGTCAAGCTGATGGGTCTCCCTAATACACACCTCGAGATCTCTCGACACCAGGATCACTCCTTAGAGTTTGTTTGGAGCTGCTTGGACACCGGAGGCAAGGAGCATTGCGAGACAGTCTCCTGGCGGAATGCGTGTGAGCGCAGAGCTGCGCAACAAATTGCACGTGGACGGCTGGGGAGTCCTGAAAACGTGTGGTGAAAGACGTGTTTGTGACGAGTTTGGACAATCGACAGGTGTTTTTCCATAGGTTTAGGACGTGCTTTGGAAGGGTTCTTTCGGTTTTTCGTTCATCTGGGCCCAAGTCCAAATATGGGTATCTTGGTCGTTTTGCGTGAGGGGGCAAATGATGCTTCAGGGTCACGTGTTGGCCATGCTGAATAAGATTCCGAGGTGCACAAAAGGGAGTGCATTCAACCATGCGAAAAGCCACCACGCCAGACAGATGCATTTCCGGATAAAATTGCCCATTAGATCCCCTGGATTTGACTCCATTCCCCAACAGTCATAGGGTCTTCCATTTTGATTTATATATTTCAATACACCCCCCAATGCTTCAACTCCATCCGTCAGCGATGAGAAGACTGCAGCCGTTTGCAGCGTCCGCAGCACCGTTGAGAGACACAGTGCCTAGCACTAGTGTCTCACGTTGGGAGCACTGGAATCGATTTAAATCGCCCAGGCAAATCTCAAAAACCCCCGACGTGTCTCAAACCCCCCCCTTTTTGCCCAACAGTTTGGGGTGGTTTTCCAGTCCCATGGAGTGTTTGGGAAGTCTTATGAAGTTGTATGTGGCTGGCTATGGCAGTTGCACGAAGTTGCATGCTGTATGGCAGCTGGGCATGTTTTGCCTCTAAAAACTCGCTGTCCTCATATGTCCTCGTTGTCCTCATCAAATCGAGTCATGACCCCGACCTATCGCCCTTCGTCCTTCGCGGTGAGCGGAACCGGTGAGCGGAACCATCGGTGGATCGGTGGGTCACTGAGGCACCCTGGGAACAACAAAGCGCACCGAGGCAGGGCTGAAGAGATGACTGGAAGGATGGCAGATGATGGCAGTAGTGCAGCTGGTGTTGAGGTCTCACTGATGCCAGTAAGATCTTCTAAGACACTGTAAGATGGGGCTGTTCGTGTGGTGCTGCAGCAAATGCTGTAATTAGAAGTCTAGAGTAAACCCAAAAAAAAGAAAGGATAGAAAGAAAATAAGGTCAATCACTGCACTTAATAATCAAATTATAGTTGTGACGCGAGTCCGCAGACATAACATAGAACTTGGAGTATTTTGAAGCGATTCCTTTAATGTGTGTTACGCAAAAAGAGCATCCATCACCATTCCGTGCGGACGGGGCCTTATGAACGAAGAAGCAGGTGTTTCGTTTGCTCACCATCCCGGATTTCCTCGAATCGAAGCCAACAAGGCAGATGATGAACTATATCCCAGACGGTCCATGTATATTTACCTACATTGACCCCTGAAACCACCCCCACTGATCGGCAGTCCTATGGCAGTCCCACTGGCGTCGTGTTTGGGTATAGGATGAGCTCACGAGCTTAAACGGTATTTACCCCCAGCCCTATTGGGCCTCCCCTTTTTGGGATCCTTCATATAAACTCGGCGTTCGCCGAGGCGGAGCAAGGCCGAGCAACGCCGATTTATCTCGAAAGGTCGCGAAACCGAACGGCGATGCCTTGAGGCCTCGCTTATGCCACTCCGCCGTTTTTTGGCCTGGCAGCCAGTGGCGGCCTTGGGAGGAACTTCAGAGGAACTGGATGCCTAGAGTCGCTGGAAAAAAAATAGACGAACTCGCAGGGACGTTCAGAACATGGGTTCGCTGCGGCTTGGATTTTGTGATATACATATGATATATTCCATGTTCCATGTTATGTTCTTTGATTTGGTTCCATGGAACTGCTATGGCTGCTTTATATGTTGTTCCTTCATTTGCAGGAAAGTCTTTCTGATTTCGCGTTCCTTGAAAAAAAAGCCAGCAAGAGTGTCTTCCCGGAAGTGTTCCTTCGAACTAGGCGGAGCATGGTCATTTTTGGTGGCCTTGGCATGGGGTGCAGCTGCCTTCAATTGGAATTACGACTGTTGGGTCGGCCAGTCTTTTTGAGCGCGAACGGCCATTCGTTGACTGGATAGGGCGTCCAGTCTGCGAGATTGGCTTCTTTTGCAGATGAATCACAGAAGGAGACGCACAGTGTCGTCCAGGATGGCGGACACGCTGGCGAACTCGCTGGCGAACTCGCTGACGAACTCGCGGGAACTCGCGGGAACTCGCCAGGTTGGAAGGCGAACCGAAAGCACAAGGAGATTGTTGGATGTACATGGCCTGGGTAGCCCAGTGAATGCTGTGAACGTCGCGGTTTTCTGGGAAACGAATGCTACAAGCTGCCACTGCAGGTGGCAGGACCTTGTAGATGTTGCACTTGGTCCTTTTGCCAATCACCTCACCTCTCATCCAGAGGTTCACAGAGGTTCTTGAAAGGGTTGTAGATGTTGCCTTTGTGCCACCCACCCACCAAACAGAGGTCACCACGGAGAGGACCATCGCCCAGAAACCGGCAGCCAAGCAAGTCGAAAGGTCAGCAATCGTGAAACCCAGCCCAGCAGAAACCAACAAGTTGGTTCCAAGTCGCTTGATCATGCGAAAGATCAACGATCAACTGGTTCTATCCAAAGACTTCGATCCAGAAGTCGACTTCAAAGCTGCCAGGCATCCCCTCATGCCGCTACGCTCATCGGATGCTCATCGATGCGCCGGCGCCCGGTTTCGAGAGTGCGCCAGGTGGGCCAACGCAATGCCAAGGCCGGACCAGGTGATTTGGAAGGTCATTGGGTCCTTTCGAACGAAAAAAAGCTGTGCCCTGTAGATGATCCACTATCTACAAGGCGAAGGTCGGCTGCATGTGCATTGTTTTTTCCAAGTTCTTCCTTGGTGCTCTAACCGGGGGGCCACGGTCAACGGCGACCCGCCTAGGTGAAAAGCCCTGAGGCTTTCACACCAAACGCGTGCGCGACGCATCCCATGTTGCGAGTCAAGTGGCTGCTTTCACAGGTGCCCGTCGTCCATACGGGGCCATGTCATCCACAAGACCATGCTGAATCTCAGTTTCCATGATTGAGAGATGCTTATCAGCCATTTCTTGGAAGCAAACCTCTACAATCTGAAGAATGTAATCCCGTCCTCCTAATAATAAACACGGCCCCCCCCCCCCCCATTAAAAAAACCTCGGTCGCATTTTTTCTAATAGGGGGTCCCTGAAATCGGGGGGGGCCCAAAATAGGGTCACCTGGAAACAGTTTCAAAACCAAAAGTAATCCAGGAAAATTTTATATCAAATCCTTTATTAAACTCATATCAAAAATGCAAAAAACCGCCAGATCGAAGGGTCTTCCTTTTCCCCTACCAAAAACCTTCATTAGAATAGTGATTCTTCAGTAGACTAACAGCTAAAGCTTTCGAAAGGTGATGTCGCTGTGCCATGCGGTGTTGCATGACCTGCAAGTGCGTTTGCGTGAGTCCGTGCCATTGAGGGAAGGAAAGCCTGCTGGTGTAAGCGCGGCGTGTCATGGTGGAGTTTTGGGGAACCTAATAAAAAAGACTACCACCAAAATCGACCATGTTGGTAGTTTAGTAGCGGCTTGAAAGGGCGGCAATTTAAAACCAAATATAAACCGAATTTAGGGGTTCGGACGTGGTGTTTTTTTAATTGGGGAGTGTTTATTAATAGGTACTCGGGATTAAACTGTAGACATCTTCAGACTCTTGATTCCAAAACACCTCCAGACCTCTTCAGGCCACCATGGGGGGGACGTTGATGTTCGTCTCAGCTCCAGGCCGCCACGGGCGCCACGGGCTGGAAGCGTCCGACCACCAGCGGTTCGGGGAGCCCAGCCCACCCGAATGCTTTGGTGGTGCAGAATGGCTAGGCCAAGATGAGGACCGTCTCACTTGGATTTTTCTTGGGGGTGACATGAGGCGGTTGTCCTAATTGTTGTCCCCATACTGGAAGTTTCTTTCTGAATGCACGTCAATTTTGTCCCTTGTCCAGTTGCCAGCATCAAGACTGAGCCCCACATTTAGCTGTCCAGACCAAGAAGAATGCCCCTCGTTCGACTCCAAAACCATGCTGCAAAACCATGCAAAACCACCATACCGGCGCCAGTACTGGCGCCAGTACCAGCCCGGTGAGTGGGTGTTGGTCAACTGGCGGTGATCCAAACAGACCCAAGGCGGTGCTCCTGCGAAGCGCTATGGGCATGGAGCATGCTTGGCAGGGGGCTCAGAATAGGCGTGATAAACCGCCCCCTGTCGTGGACCATTTGTAAAGTGTTGTATCATGTGTGATATAACTACGTAGTGTAGACTCTTGATGAATAGAACGCCGTAAAAAGGAAACCTCTTCCTGTGGGGGGTTTTGCTAATCAAGAACCTACATTAGTCCCTTGGCTGAGTTCTTCCTTGGCTTATCAGTGAGTCCAAAGGCTGTTCTCGAAATGGGCTCTTGAAGATATGTTCAGACGTGCCACAAGGTGTGTAGGGCCTGGGGGGAGCAACTCATTGGGAGCCTTTTTTCGTGGTGGTCCTGAGTGGAAAACCTGCCCAACCCGTCTTGGGGATTGGTTTCCGCCACGCGTGGATTTCTCGGATCGAGGCCAACGATGCCATGGTGATTTGTGGCGGAATGGATGACACGGGAGAGTTGGCTGATTGCACCTCGCCCGGCATTGGGCAGGGTAATTATACCTCCAACCTGCTTTCGTCAAGAAAGAAGAAACGACCGGGGGTGGCATTGTGAGTTTTCACGGGGTGGGAGGACATTGACCTGGATCCAACCTGCTTTCATTAAACAAACAAGGTTGCATTTTTCCAGGATTTTGTTTCGTTCAGTGAACATGAGTTTTCTAGCATCGTTCGTGAACATCCGAACCTGGGGAAGGGGCTTGGAGCAAACATGTGTGGCAAACCGATCGTGCAGATTTGGAACTTCCGATCCGTGGTGGCCTTTGAGGGAAAAGGGATGGAAAGGGTGGAATCGCATCATGTGCATTGAGAGTTCTTGTTGGATGACTTGGGGAGCTGTTTTGGAGCAACCGGATGGAAGAACATGAGAGGACAAACAGCATCGTTCATTCACGGTACTTGTTTTTATGTGTGGAGTGTGACTTGAACTTCTTCACTTCTCGATCGGTGTTTTGAATGCGGATGTTACTAAATCTACTTAACTATAGACAAAGGTTGAGGTACTTGTTGATCACATCATCCGAGACGAACGGCCAAATCCGATGCTGAACTCTGGGCCTGGCCAGTACAAGTCAAAATGGAAGGAGAAACCAAGTGTTTTTGCATGTTTTTGCATATTTCTGCTCCGGGAAGACTCACGATCATCAGCGTGAACACATGCAAAATCCAAGACTTCAGCATGAAGCCAGAACAACTTTCAGAGGTGCCTTAAAACCCAATCATAAATGTTGATATTATATACTTCTAAAAAGACGGTCAAGCCAGCCAACGCATCAGCCCAACGCACATAGGCCCATAGTATAGGCCATTCTTGGCAACAGCTAAGCTGCGAGCTGCAATGGATGAGCCACCACCTTGCACCATTGAAGTTCGCTATTAGAAACAAGTGCATCGCTACTAGTAACAAGTGCCTGACTAGTAGTAACAAGAAGCTACGAACGGAACAATAAGAAGCACAGAGCCGGAACGAGGACCGAAACAGCTGGAAGAGTCCCCGTGGCGAGCTTTGGTCGAGGCCTTGCAACCGTGAAACGCTTTCCGGATCGAATACAATCCGCTCCGCTCCAGGGGCATCCGAGCGAGGAGAGAGGATCGACATGCAGGAAGGGCTGGAGTTCGCAGACACTTCCTGCGTTTTGGATCATCCTCACCATCAGTTTGCTCCCGACATTCTTCAGGTTGCGGCTCCACCATCGCCTGCATTTGCACCCGGAGGACACCTTCCCAACCTGAGGAGATGACAATACCATTGGATGTGGAAGAACCTGCCGCTCCAGAGTGGAGCCCAAGTTGGACGAAGCTGAGGAGATGTTTCTTCCTGAAGCTCTTTTCAGTGTGAAGCTTTGAAAGATGTGAATTTCACTGTGAAGCTTTGAGGGATTCACATGAATTTGTTTCCCAAACGAATGAATTCATGTCACCCTGTTTCATCCAGCCAACCTGGCCGCATCCTGGCCCTCTTGGCGAAAAAGAATCCAAGATGAAGCCGCAGCGCCATGTTGTGGGCCGCGGCCACGCCCATCAACCAAAACCTGTGGGTGGTGTATGTGGTGGCCCCAGAAAGGTCAGCTCGGCCGTTGACCTCAAGTTACTTCCGAAAGACGTGTAAGACTCTGATCGGGCCTATAAGATCACGTCAGATCCCGATCCGTTCTTTCCGACTCGTTTTGCTCAGATCGCCGCGAGTCCTTGGAGTCCTTGGAGTTAGTTGGAGTTGTTCATTTGTTGTTTCATTTTGATTGACTGTTCTTGGATGGGAGGTTGACCTGAATCAACCTGCATGATGGAAGCCCCCCCGCTCCAATGGGGAAACTGGGACTGATGTTTGATGTAACAAAAGCAGCATGAAGAGGGTTTCACATGGTTTTACAATCTACATGCGGGGGTTATTGAATGCTACATATTCTACACTAGAGTTATGACCCTATATGGTTGTGGGTGTGGTTTCTACCTTTGGCATGGTTTGGAGGAAGACAATGACCCGAAAGTTTAGGGTCCCAAGAGATTTCCTTCAAACCAACACTCCATCCCCTAGTTCCAGTCACGAGCAGCCCCACCAGAACTGCGCAGTTCCTCGTTCTCGGCACTGCGTGTCTCAGAAGCTTCGGCTGCTGCGTCGCGGCGCAGCCGCCGAGGCTGGCTCTTGCAGTTCTCCGAGATGCGCTGGGAGCAGCTGGAGAGCCCCATGCCTCGAGCGCCTCGAGCGCCTCGGTCCGACCGGTCCCCCGAAATCTCGTTCGGCTCCGGTCGGGGCGGCGGTGCATGCGGTCGCCGTGGTCGCCGTGGTCCCAGGGGGAAACCCGTCTACAAACAGAAGGGTGATTGAGCAGGAGTGGTGGAGTGGTAGGTGGAGGGTGTATCGGAAAAATGCTCTCGGAGAGGGGAACCGCTTTCTGAACTGCCCTGGAATCCGCACTCCAACTGAACAACCTCTCACAGGGATCTCAAATCCTTTCTTCGCCAGTTTTTTGGGTGGCATCTCTCAAACCATACGGTGGTCGGAGTCCATTTCCTTTGAATCCCCCCATGTGTTCCACCTGAATCTGGTTCACACTCTTGATCAGCAAAAACTCCCGTATTGCACTCCAAATTGGGGGGACCGCAAAACTTCGCAGCTTTAGCATGCTCCTTCGGGAAAGCAAACTTACTGCGTGACGACCTTCAAATCGCTTGACCTGCACTGTTTGATGTCCCAAAGCATCAATGAGGCGCAGGCTGCCCAGGCTGTTGAAGCTCAAACTGAACCCAAGCTGTCACGGCGTGAACTGACGCCCGTCAGTCCTCTCAGGAGCTGGGACGCTGTGAACTGCTCTGGTCCTCCTTTACCCAAGCGGCCTTGCTTTGGAGTTGCCATGGAGCGGCCTTGCTTCGCACCACAGGACACCTCCCAACACCGGTTTTCAATCAACTCCACGCTCGAGCCGCCTTCAAACTTCGAGGAAAACGCGCACACGGTGTATGTGAAAGTATACCTTTGCACCCGTGAAATGTTGACAGACATTTCCGAAAAACAGTCCGATGAGCTCGGGAGGGATGAAAGCAATGAAGGTGGTGGGTGGTTTTTTCTTATTTTTTACGCGTCGCGGTGTGGCGAAGGCGGCGACGAGGCCGCGTCACCGCAGCACCCAACCTCTCCAGGCCCTGCGCCGATCCCTCGCGGAGAGCGGCAGCACGAGCAGCGCGAGCGCTGGCGGTCGAAGGAGCCAGAGCGGTCCTTGCCCCCGGTGCGCGCTGGGCCCTGGAAGGCGGGGGTAGGTGGGGGGAGGGCGGCTGGAACGTTTTGCTGCTTGGGAACTGGTGAAGCGAAACAAAGATCAAGAGGTGGAAAACATGGTTGACCGTGATTGACCTTTATTTACCAGGCAATCTGGGGGAATTAGGGAAAATCTGGAATATGAACACGCATTATGTGAGCAGTTTATCAAAGAGACCCGCTTGTCTCAAATCCTAAACCAGCTTCCTGTACTCCTTCAGGTTCCTCTCCTTTGTTCATGGAACAACAGAAGCGTTTCATCATCCCCAGACACTCCATGTATGCCACATATGCCTACATTGGGGTGGTTTGGGGGGGTCAATGTAGGCATATATGGCATACATGGAGTCTCTGGGATCCTTCATGTCCGAAACCTCCATCATGTGATCAAAACTCACCAGAACCAACCCTCTACGCGTCCTCAGTCCTGAAGCCTTGTTCGCTGAGCCTTGTGGCTTCCTAGCGAGGCCAAGGAACTTCCTGTGATGGTTAGGGCGAAGCAAGAAGCTGAACCCCAGAACTGCCTCAGAGGATCTGTCAGAGGATTCTTCCTCCACGTGAGACCACTGTCTTGCTACATGGATGATTCTGCGTTCTATCCTGCAGGAAGGAAAGCGTGGGGAGCAGGGAAGCACATACGGTCGGATATACAAGCTCATACTACCTCTCATGCGGTCGGAAAGCGGTGCGTTCGGATCCTTCGGCCAACGTGTCCCTTTCTCAGAGTCGATCATGTTCAGGAACTTCCACACGTTGATGTTGCCCAAGATCGGTCGAACTGGCACCACCAAAGTCAAGGAAGTCTCCTGTTGTCTGGTCACCATATTATATACATTTGACATGGTCAGACAATGTCAGACCTTTTTTCTAGATCTTCCAACTAACTTGCCTGCTTTGTTATGGATGAAAAGGTGGACATGTGTCACAGTGTGAAGATCCAGGTCACAAAACTGTTGGACTCCCCGAGCAACCCTGCCTTTTTCTCACTCCCCATGTTTGAAACGCCAAAAGGGCCGCCTTCGCAAAGGCCTGTCCTCCGGATGCCGATGCCTACCAGTCCTGGCCGCAGCAGACACCACGGAAGGTGCGGACGAGAGAGCGCCCACATCCGCCCACATCTGGCTTCGTGGTGGTTGAAATGTCCTGTCTAGGAGAATCGCTGTGCGAAAAGCGGTCCAGTCCAGATCTTTGGATCTAGCAAACAGCATGGGTTCTTCTTGTTGGGGAGTCCAAGTGGATTCCCAGCCATCATGGCCTGACTGGTGCTTAGTAGGGAATGAGGGAATGAGCCCCAATAGAGATTCCTTTGGATCCATTCCCTCATTCCCTACTAAGCACCAGTCAGTGGCTTTCCTCCAAAACCCATCCATCCACTCAAACGCTTACCAAACAGATCAGGCCCGAGTCGATCAATGGTGGAAGCAGGAACCCTCGAAGAAGCTTCGTCCGCTTCGTCCCGGCGGCTGGAACTCTGGACCTGGAGCGGTCTGGCAGATGGACCAAGCAGTTCAGAGGCTTGACGACCCAGGGACCAAAGACTTTTAGCCTAAACTTCCAAAGACATACAAGTATAAAGTGACGTGACCAATGGCCCATGCTCTTTTTCACTCATGCTTTCTTCCCGAAGCTTAAAACCGGCTTCGATATTCCTACCGTGTTTTCTTCATGAAAAGACTTGGACCCTTTGAAATCCGAGATTGCCTTAGGATCCAAAGCCTCGAAAGTGTGGCTGGGACCCTCAGGTGTTCGGTCAATTTGAAAAAGCTGGTTCTGTTGAGCTCTTCCACAGTTCTTTTTGTGATATTTTGTCATGTCCTGTATGTTCCTTCTGAGCATGTGTCACTTTGGTTCTCCAGGGGCCAAAATCAAGAGACAAAGGGGCTTTCATCCCATCATCTCGACCTCAGCCCCTTCGTGCCACAGGCCGAAAAGGAGAAACTGCCGCGCCCGGTTGCCTCCGCCGTGGGCAGCGCGCGCCGCCCGAGCGCTGGGCCCCGCGCGGCGCCGGCCGAGCTGGCACCGGTGAAGCCTCCGCGCGCGAAGCGCTCCGTGTCGCGGATCAGCTGAGATCAGGCAGAAAGGCAGGGTGAATGTTCGAAAGAGCCGGTGTTTTAAGAACGAAATGGTTGGGGAGTGTGAGCGGAGTTTTGAGAACTCACCCTATGAAGTGCTTTAGGTTGTTCCTAAGGGTTGGGATACCTGAGATTGGGTTCCGGATTTGAGGGAAGGAATTGAAAGAACAATACATGATACACATATCACATATCGTTAAGCTAGTCCTTAATTAAGCTAGTCCTTAAGCTATCCTTAAGCTATCCTTAAGGAACCGATTGAGGTCATCTCCATTTCTCTTGCGACCCTGCCACAAAAAAACGACCAGGCGGGCCTGTCCTGACTTCGAAGTGCAAGCAGCACCTAATACTCGTAGCATCGTAGCATCGCCTTCCGTTCGACCATTTTCCAGGAGACAGTGGTATGACCTGGTATGACCCCTGGTGCCGTCGAACATCCGTAGCAAAACAAGGTCTTCTTCAGAATTTTCATGCAATCTGGGCCAGGAATCCGAGTTCCCCTGCGAACATCATCGAATCACCGAGTCAAGGCTGGCTGTCAGGCACTGCCTGTCACCCACCCCCGAGTCATTGTTTGCATGGGGGTGGCATCACTATACTCGAACCCACCCAATATAATAACAGGAAAACATTACGAATCAAGTGCACACTTGATCTCGGTTCATCTCCAGCTGATCTAGCTGATCGAGACATATAGTTTTTCTTGGTGTATTGCAAGCTGGACCGTAACAGGGTCTTCTTGCGGCAACGTGTGTCACCGGAAGGTCGGTTTGCCAAACAAATCCCTTTGGAGCAGAATAACAGAATAACAATTCCCATATAGACTCCATGGGACTGCCATATATGCCCACATTGGAGTGGTGCCAGGGGGGTCAATGTGGGCATATATGGCAGTCCCATGGAGTGTATGGGATTGATTCATTCATTTGTTGTGTGGAACATCAACATGTTGAGGTAGAGTCGTGAACTTGGATATGTTGTACTTGCGGGACAGGCATTGCAAAGTGCGTCTATCTCAGGGGGGTCATGCTACATCACCTGTTTGTTCATTTGCTTTTTGGAATTGACCTGGTTTTGGGCCACGGGTGTTTTCTATTGGGATTGCTCCAAATGGTGGCTGGAGGGGTTCCGTTCATGTCTTGTTCAGCCTTTCGCAGCCAATTGTATGGGGCCATAGCAAGCCAAAATGCTCAAACTCGCCTGGCTCGCCTTGATTCCAAGACCATGAAACAAATGGTTGACCTGGTGTTGTAGGGCGAAATCCTTCGTAAAGCAGCAAGCAGCTCGTGATTCCGAACTCCACACCGCAGCGGTGTGGGCGGCAGGGATTGATTTGCCCCGACCTTTCTCACCGGTCACCGACGTAGTCGTGGCGGCTAAGCTGCCATCCGTTCGCAGATGACATGCTAATCGATCAAGTCCGAGAAAGGCGGTGTGCAGATCGGGACGTGAAGGGACCCGAAGTCGCAAAAGGATCGTCGTCCGCAGGAAGATTGGTACGATGGATATACCCTGGGAGTCAAAGACTATAAAAAGAATGGTCTTTAGGGGACCTGAAAGGGAACTTCCTTTACTTCAGCCGGTCAAAATATAGTCTTTGGACTTCTAGGGTATATATGATGGATATGCTGATATGCATGCGAAATCAGCATGTTGGCAAGACCAACAAAAGGCGAACGGAAGATCGAGCTTTCGCTCGCTGTCAGTTCTGCTTGTTCCATGTGGTGTTCATATCTTTTTTCCTCCTTATCCCTTCGAGGTCACTTTCCAGGGGTTGCGGCGTCCGACTGTTGGACCTGACGATGCTTGGGACGCAGGAAGCGGGCTGCGGACCCACAGGAAGAGGCTGAGAATATGAGTGATTCAGCTTGATTGGGTGGACAGGTGGATGTTGGCATGAGTAACCTTTTGGAGGGAGGGAGGGAGAGAGAGAGAGAGAGCACCCCCGAAAGCCTGTTGAAGCCTAAAAAGTATCCCGGCCCTTTAAAACTGTCTCTACGAAATCAAGTATCATGGCATAGCTAATTCTGGTTTGTGGAAAAGCATTTTTGCAGTGGAAATTAGAGGTACGCCCAATTGTTTAGAGACAGTTTTCTGCAAAAGGCCACTCCCACCATGGCCATGCTGATTTTTCACGTGCATTAAAAAGTACAGTCAAGTCAAACCAACCAAAACTTTAGTCCTGTAGGGAGGTCAGGTGTGTTCTTTTGTAGAAGCGCTATGCTCACCCCAATATGCTCCAAACTCTTCAATCAAATCACGCCCAAATTCCCAATCTTGTCAAGCATTTGTCCCTGCCGATCTTTCTCTTTCTGCCCTTTTTGCTCGAATCAATCCAGCATCCACTTCGAAACCTCCAGGCGGGGTATTGGATCGATTCACCATCGCCTCACGATTCGCCTCACAGACTGAGCGCCTCCGAACCCAGGCGCTCCAAAACCGGGTCGGCCCGAGGGTCGCTGGATCTTCACGGGTCCACGGGTCGCGGGCCCAAAAGGTATCGCGTTTGTGTCTCTGTCCCTCCCACCGCGCTCGCCGCTGCCTGGGCGGTGGCCGCTGTGGTGCGGGCCACCGCAGTGTTGGGCGTTCGCGTGACCTCCGCGGTTCAGAGTGGGGCGTTCTGTTCTTCGGACGAGGAAGGTGCAAAAGAGTGTATACTACGAGTCACCAACATGGAAGTGGATGGCACCTGCTTGCTCTTCGTTTTTTCATCCGAATCTCGGGGCCGTTTTTCGCACTGCCGATCGACGCACTGCCGAATAAAGCAATGCCGTAGATCACAAGACACGGAAGGTCGAAAAGCAAGGTTGGGGATGTACACAGGGACAGGGGGATGACTGGCCATGTGAAAAGAGGTCCATACTTTCTGAGTCGGTCGATACACAGCTTGCAGTATCGGCGAACACGCGGCTGGAAGGATTTTACCATACTTTACCCCTCACACGACCGCAGATGGGAATATGCAACTCCGCTGGCACAACCCAATTCAACATTTGACAAGAAAGGTCAGGGGAGGAAACTCATCAAACTTCAAAAAGACCTAGCCTTCCGTTCCACCATTAAACGAATGAGTGACCTGGTGTTGTAGTGTCAAATCCTTGGTAAAAGAATGTAAATCAAGTTCTACTGCTGGCTGAGGGTTTTGTTGTTTGATTGTTATATATACCTGTTTCGGCCGATGGATTCTCTGAGAAGATGTGTTTTGTTCTCAATTCTTGGCGCGTCAGCAATCAGAAGAAGCAGAACTCACTCATCAGACTTGAATGTTATTGGGCCTCCATCTAGGATAGCAAGCCATTTTGATCCATATGTTGTTGAGCCTACAGTGCTCAGTGCAAATCACGCTAAAGCAAACTTGCGGTCCTTTAGGATTTAGGATCACATTGCATTGAGTGGTAAACCAACCACCCAGTATCTGCCCATTCGTCACATCTCTACCCAAACCCACCACCTCACCGGCGCCTTGGACGCCCCCCTCAGCGGCGCCGACTCGCCGAAGGCGGCGACTCACGGCGCCCCTGCAGGAGGGACCGGGTGGCGTTCTTCGACGGACGCTGGTGGAGAGACCGAAGGTGACGCGTTGGACCTGTTCACCTGGCAACAGACATTGGAAGAAAAGACCCAACTCTTCGTCATGTGGATAGTTTGCAAGTGGACAGTCTGCTTTCTGGAACAGTGATGCAAGGTGCTTCATTTGTACAATCGATTGATGACTCACTTTTTTGACACCATCGTCAACTGGCGCCTGGCTCCGTATGAGCAAGGGGAACCCCCTGTGGGGCCGCCTTATGTAGGGTCGCATAGTGCAGCCTTGAATATGAGGTTTAGGGGGAATCATGCATATACCTGGATCTTCCAACCATGCTAAATGTTTGCCTAACTTTGCTGTTTTGTATGGATGAAAAGGCAGAAAATTGTCACAGTTGGAAAATCCAAGTATGCATGTCTATGGTGGTGAAAATTATTATCTTGCTGCTTTCTGCTATATCTTCATGTTATCTTGTGGGAGGTGTCCTCCTTGACCAAAAAGGTGGTGTGTGCAGATGAGGCGCTCCAAAGTGGGCACGTGCGCAGATGAGGCGGATATCATGAAACAAAGTGTGCCCATGCAAGCAATCACCGAACCTCTGACTTGCATGCCGAAGCCATAGCCTTTTTCTTGAACGATCAACCGAAGCTCCGTTTCTTTTCAATTTCGCAATGGCAATGGCTATGATGGCAACAGCTGCGATGATGATGCATCTCGCGTTCTCTCAGGACTGTTCAGGGACAGCCCAGAGCTCAATCCATTAGTGCGCACGAATGCATGTTGGTTTGTTGGAAGCAAAGAAGTGGAAAACGCAAGCTTGTGGCCCTCCCATAGGGCTCAGAATCCAAGGCCCACCAGTTTAAGGGATAACCTTCTCATCGTCGTGCGTTGCGCCACGCATTGGGTTTGGCTTTTTGCTTTGCCAGGAAACTCTTGGTCAGCGCCGCCTATCGGCGGACCTCGTGTCAGACGATGTGGCTTCCATCCTCCAAGTGTCCAGTGCCGGGTTTTCAGCTTCGGATTCAGAACCTTGCGAATGGAAGCTGAGTGCTTTAGGAGATGGCGGAGTCACACTCGTCCAATCCATGTCCTTTCTCCAATTTGTACTTTCATAAGTTCAAAGCGATGAAGCCAGAGTCCCCAAACACCCCAAGAGGCCCTTCCCTTGCGAAGCTGGTCAATTTGTTAAGTCTTTTTGCCAATTGAAACGACCAGTGACCAGCCAGAGCCAGCATTTCTTGCCGGCAGGAAGCAACTGCATTCGCCCGTGTGCGCCGATGGGGATGAAATGCGACCCTGAACAGCAAAAGTTACTCTCAGGTGGAGGAATGGTGAAGGTGATTCAGAGCCTTGGACGGACATGCGGCCCTTCTCCGACAAACAGTCTGAGCAGGTCTGCGCCGTTTATTGAGAAAGGCCGGCATGATGTTTGAGTGTTTTTCTTTCTTGTGACCTGGGACGGTTATCACCAAGCACTAAACTTATCAACGAGTTTCCTTCGCAATCAATAGGGCCTGTCCCACACGATGCGTTTTGCATCAGGCACCAACCAATGTTTTCCATCATCTCCTATATCAATGTCAGCCGATTCACGCTGCAGCGCCAGCGCATCCCGCAAGCATCAGCGGCTTTGCTGCTGCGTTCCGAAAGACACGTCCACCACCATTGCCTCCACCAGCCGTTTCACCACTTTCACTACTGTTTGGCCCAGCAGCACTACAAGCACCACCAGCACCAATGTTGGTGGTGGCCAGGGCGACCCTCACATCTACACCATTTGGGGAGATCACTACACTCTCTTGAAGCCCGGGACCTTTGTGGCCTGGAATTTCTCCAAGGGCTCGGTGGCCTGGCAGCTGGTGGCCTGCTACTCCGGCGCTCGGTTCACCACCCAGGGCCTTCTGTTGCTCGACCGTAGTCATCGGACCATGGAGCTCACAGCAGAGGACTGCGCCTGGCGCGACGCGCGGCATGGAGGGCGCCCAGTGAGGGAGTCCGAGTTCCTGTCTCATGGAGCGAGTGCCTTGGAGGTGACGCAAGTGGGTAAAGAGACGGAAGACTTCCTGAGCATGGAATCCATGATCTGGCTGAAGATGCAATCAGAGAATGGCTTCCGGAAGGTGGCAAGGCTTCTGGTCCACTGCAAACCTGGTGATCATATGGACTTCAAAGTCAGCATGTTTGACAAGAATCATCGATTTGCATAAGATCCTTTTCCTTTTGACTCCCATTGCTTCAGTCTTTACCGATAATATGCGCAGTGCTTTGTCCTTCGAAGTTGTTGAAAACCCATGGCGCCAGGCCCCTTTTCTGGTTGGGTTTAGAAGGAAGGGGTAGAAGGACTATCTCCCATTTTGTCAATGACCATGATGGAAATTGCCATTTGGCGGTCCCGGACCGTTGAGAACCGAATTCCATCTGCAGGAGTGACATGGAGCATGTGGGCGGTGAGCTGGGCGCTACGAGCGATGGAAAGGAGAGAGAAAAACACAAAACAAAAATATACACATAGAAACACCCTGCGCAAAAGCTGGTAACCAGTGGTTCCAAAGACTAACCAAAGAAACCCGGATTCCTTACATTAAAAGTAAACTTTACTTTGAGCGATCCCCACAATGGCATTTCAAATATATGTTTTAATGCCATGGCAAGCATCACATGCATCACAAGCATCATGCCCGTCGCGCGGGAAACGCGCAGCTCTTCCCATCACCGCTTCTGGACAAACCACCCAAGGGATTCACGCGAGCAACGACCTAAAGGGTCTGTACACAAATCTTTGGGTGAGAGGAACTATTTCATTGAAATCATCCAAAAACCTGCAAAGCGATACAGTCAACCCCCAAAAGTGATTACCTTCACAATGTACACTTCAATCATTTTCTTCAATCATTATTTGATGTGTGTTCTTTTTACATGAAGCGATACCAAAGCGATACCCCTGGATGATCAAAATGTGGTCTAGATGAGCGGATCCCCTCTCGTACCATTCTCGTATCATTTTCACAGTGCCTGTGGAGACACATCAAGAGCTCTAGAACAAGAACCGCAATGAAGGGGGAAGGAAGTGCTATTGTGTCAATGGAAAACCATCTCTCTCCTCTCTCTCTCTCTCTCTTTCTTTGTTTCTTTCTTTATGTGTGTCTTTCTTTCTGTCTTCTTTTCTGTCTTTCGGTTTTTCTTTCTTTCTGTCTTCCTTTCTGTCTTTCTGGCTTTCTTTCTTTTTGCGCTTTTTGTATTTATTTCTTTATGTTGTTATTTATTTTTGTATTTCTTTATTTTTGTATTTATTGTCTTTCTTTCTGTAATTCTTTCTTTATGTATGTCTGTCCTATTATCTCTTTCTTTCTTTCTTTTTGTGCACTTCATGTTGGCTATGTTTTCAAGGAAAATCCTCAAGAAATATGATAAAGGCATCCAACACTGTAAAGACTGTAAAGCGATATAGCGAACATCCCACAGCGATACCAACATATGGAGTTTACCAAATTCTATGATCGGTTTTGGCCATCGCTCACGTCGATGGGTTCGGGAAAAGACCATGGTGGGACATCGATGGAACCTGCTGCACCTGCAAGTGGGACCTGCTGCACCTGCATGTCCAAGTTGGGTGGTTTTATATGGACATCGAACTAAAGGACTCCCTAAAGGACCTGCTGCACCGGGTCTGTGCAGTCTGTGCCATCGAACTGCTTGTGGGACTTTGGAATCCCCTGTTTCTCAGCGAGGACCATTTGAGCTTCTTCTCTTCCAAGCTCGCTGTGAAGACAAAGACTGATGACAACTTTCAGGTGGGAGTTGGGAAGTGGTCATAAGATGTCATAAGAAGCCCAGTCTTTCTGCTCCTGTGGTCGAAGATAATTACTGTAGTTTTAGTTTTGCCCCCCCCCCCCCGTTTTGTGAGACCCCACATACTCCAAGTGTCCGAACTTCGCTGCGCATGTCCCACCGCAGTGAAGACCGTGTCCTTCACCGCCGAGAAAGCCCTGGCAGCGTTCGGTTTTTTCGCCTTGAAAGACCATTCAAAGAAAGAGCTTGACCTGGTCAAAACGAGTGTCAAATCCCTCGTTGTTGCGGATGCCCCCTTTATACCATGGTGGGCCCCGAATCCGGTGTAAAGGTGGATCCAAAAAGCCCTAGGATATCTGGCCATACCTGGCCCACCATGGACTTGATATTAAGGGCTTTTACGAAACCAGCTGTTGTACTAAGGCTCGAAGGATTTCTACACATGTTTACAATACAACACCAGGTCCACCCGTTGGTTATGATATGTTACAGTGGTCTTGGACCTCCCAGGATAGGTTAGTTTGTAGCTGAATAAGAAACTCCCACTAATGGGTTTTAGTCCATGTTCTTTCTTCCTAGGCCGGGGGTGTCCCTGTTTTAAAACGGCCTTGTGACGGTCCGAACCCCCCACGGAGCTGTTCGGAACGCCCGTGGGCACGTGTTTCGAGGCGCCTGGAACGTGGGTCGGCCTGGGTGGCAGTGAAGCTGCGGCAGCATATTTGAACTCTAAGATGCAAGCCACTGCGGCGTCCTTGATCAGCACGACCTGCAGTGAAGCTGAAGAGCAAGAAGCAGAGAAGATCTGCGGCAAACACCTTCAGAAGGATGCCTGGGTTTTGCTTCAATGGTTGGAATTGAAGTCAACCAGGTATGTGTCACAGGTTCCCTGTTTCCATATGTTCCCGTATTTGTTTCGAAGATGCCTTTGCTTGCCTTTTTCCGGAGCCGCTGCTTCGACAGCTCCAAGGATGGCAATCACCCAGAGATCTTTGGCGACTGTGTCTTTGATATTTGTCATGGAGCTGGTGGGGAAGAAGTGGCGCAGAGCGCAAAAGCCTTCATCGCAGCCTAGATCGAAGGATTTTCGTAACAGGCAAATTACTTGCCTTATGTTTGTTCGATGACTTGTGCATCCAAAATGGATCCAATTTGTTTTGAATGTTAATTCAACTGTTTTTTGTCCAAAGGAACTGATCTGTTTTCAAGCAACTGAGAAAGAGCCCAGTGCACGATGCTTTCGATTTGCCATGGAGTGTGCAGGCAGACGACAGGCAGACGACAGGCTTGTTTGTTGTTGTTTCTTCGCTACGAAAAAGTCCTCAGAATCCACACATCCCGATGTTGATCACGTTGGACGCCCGCTGCCCACTCCGGGTGCTGATCGGCTGCTTTCGACCGTTGCCGCCGGAGAAAGACGACGGTCGTCCGCGTCCGAACGGTCGTCCGAACGGGTTTGCTGGGGTCTGTCAGGTCGAGCGCGAGCATGGCGGCCATTGTTTGGTGGGCTGGTGGGTGACATGTGGGAATTGCTGAAAAGTAGAAGAGGGGATTTTCAAGAAACAGGTGGAGGTGGCTGTTGTTGTGAGCTTGGTTTGCGCGTGTATTGAGAATCACGAGATTGCAAAATGTCAAATGTCAGAAATTAGAGGGGGGCCACAAGTGGCCAGCAAAAGAGATTCACTTCTGAGCCAACACCAAAACCTACGGTGCATTCTTCCAGGTCAGCTGGTGTTCTGGGCACGCCCAAATCCCCTTCCTTCATTCCAAGATGTTCCAATCTGGGGTGTTTGGAAGAATGCTTGCGTGATCCAATCTGATCCTGATGTCATTCTGCTTTAGCGCTGTGTTCTTGGGAATGGACAACAAACGGAAGGAAAGACACGCGGACGGCCAGGTTCCTTTGTCTTCTGGACCGACTTCGGTGGCCATGAAGATCGAAGTCGAAGGAACTGTGCCTAGGAGGCCACGAGTGTCCAAATGACTCATTTTACCCCTATGGTAGTGATGGATTATGACTACCAGGTCAGGTAAAATGAGTCATTGGTCGGACTGGAAGTTCTGAGTAATACAGTCTGGTGGAGCAAAAAGACACGATGAGGTGGATTGATACCTTTCAGAATCTGAACGGGCCGGGTCCGGACCCGAACCAAACTTCCAGGGCTCAGATTCTTAGGGTACTGTGTATTATATAAATATATATCCTGCGAGTCAAAGACTGTAAAAAAAAGACGGTTGAGCTGGTGGTGTAGCGTAAAAATCCGTAGTAAAACAATGGTTCTTTGGTAAAAACTATTAAAACAATGGTTGTTTGAATCCTAGGGTATATCATTGTCATACCAGCACCCGACTTCACAGGTCACCACCTGACACTTTTAAGTATCCAAAAGCTACCAGAGGAGACCTGGAAGGTCTCGGGTGCTGGTAATATCGATCGAAGTCCCAGAAACCTCCATGGCAGTTTCACCGATCAGGGCCAGGGTGGTGGTGTTTGGGCCAAAAAGAGAGGTGCCTTGATGTCCCTCTGAACGCCGTGGAGGTCTCCCCGAAACCCTGCCGGAACCCCCCCAGAACTGGGTCCTGGGTCCTGAGGTCCGGGCTGTTTGACCATCCCAGGTCTCATGGATCCTCCCAGACGCTTGGGACCCTTTTCCATCCCGGTTTACGGACCAACCAGCCGATCTCGGGTACAGACCGGCTCCTGGCCCACCCCACCTCCTGAGGTTCGGTGGTTCGGGGCGGGGTGCCAGGGGGGTCTAACCACCGAAGAACCACCGAAAGTGAGGAGATGGACCAGGAGCTGTGAGCGTGAGCTTGGAGAACCTGCGCCGGGTGAGAAAAAAGAACGTCCACGGAGGATAGTCAGTATTAGTTGTCTCGTGTTGTCTCGCTGTTCAGTGCAACTTTGGAAAGGTGTTCTTCAACGCGCACATTTGCAGCGGGAAAATGGTAGACAAGGATCTGGAACACTCGACCATAGTAATTGGTTGTTTTCTAGGTGCAAATGATGCTTTGGCTTGATGTCCACGGTGAACCGACTCCAAACTGTGAACTCGCAGTGCTTGTCAGAATCAAAAAACATGTGACCAGGTGTTTTTTTTTCGGGAGACTACCACCAATCGAGGGTGGTCGAACCAAGCTGTCAGTCATTGGGGATACCCCAAAACCGCGGTAGGGTTGACATCCATGCAGTTTTCCTATGACAGCGCGGAGTTTCGATCCATTCTTCTTGAGACAAGGGACATCTCTTTGCACAGCCAGTGCTCAGCAAGAGAGGAAAGCAAGTCAGTGGTTGACACCAGAGGTGATGTTGCTGGGTCCTCAACCCAAGCCTGGCATGACGGTAGTTGAATCTAGATGCCGCCTTTTTACTGCTGAAAGATGGGGTACAAGCCACATACTGAGGTATACTGAGCTTTCTGCAATCTACTCTGAAACCACTGCAAGACACTTGACCATTTCCAGGATTTTTCGGCTCCAGCAATCAGCAATGGCTGAGTAGACGAATGTAGACGACGTTCGTTTGTAAAATGCGTCCATGCTGGGCATGGCACTGGTGTTTCTCGGGCCCCATCTGGCTGTGGCTGTGGCCAGTTTGGGCCATGAGGCCGCAAATTGATGGCTGCTCAGCTGCGGGGACTTTGGATTCAACAGCCCCACAGCAGGTGATGGTCCCCCAATGTCCCCGCACCTTGTTCGAGTGGAAGTTCTTCCATTGCCGGGTCCAGGACCATAGGGTGTCCTTTGGCCCCCCAAAAAAACCATTCTCTGGAAGTACTTTCACCTCTAAGACCATCCGAGGTACCTGGACCCTATGGATTGAACACATGGGTGGGTTTCCCCCAGGGGAGTGCCCATGAGTGCATGTTCACAATTGACAGGGAGTGACCGGAGTTCGTTCATGTTTTGTTCTACGTTCCATTGGGACACCTTCTAGTGCGGAGGATACTTAAGACTTCAACGTAGGCTGTTGATGACTACACCCACCCAGGCATGGATTGTAAAACCTTTTTAGACTCTTCAGGCTTGAGCATATGAATCAACACCCCTAACTACTGTAGCCTTCCAAGACCATCAACAGAATGGTTGACCTGGTCTTGTAGTGTAAGATCCTGAAAAAGACGATGGTTGTTCAGGAGGATTCGAGCCACTAAATCCTGGTGGACCAGGAATACTGGGGACCGTCTACATTAAAACATCCCAAGGTTGTAGCAGGATCTGCCTTCCTACTCTGCGTTCATGAGCCACGTGGATGACATCAAAACAACCTATATCCGCGTTCTGCCAGACATGAGAAGTGTGCCCTAAACGTCCTTCCTTGAATGACTCTGTTCCGAAGACAGACCCAACTGCAGCCGCTTTCCGGGTGTTTTTTTTCCAAACCGGAAGCAGAGTTGAGGTGTTCTTTTCGGCTTAAGTACTTCATTTTCGAGCCATGTCAAACCACCACGGGAGGGATTGAGGTTTCTTCAGGGTTGAGGTTTCTTTTCGACACTCTTGGTGGAGTCGACTTCTCCAGGTTTGACGAAAGGATCCCATGGGTCTCTCATTTAGTAGATTTGACGCTCGAAAGACCCCGTCAAAGCACCACGTGAATGGTCAAACCATCCTGACGTTAGGGCAAGCTGTGGGCCAATGTTGCATTTTTGGGGGGTGTTGAAGGTCAGGCAGTCGATGCCTTGAGGCAAGCTGTTTGATGAATTTGATGCGCTGAAACCAGTCTTCAAACATCTTCAAACCAAACTAGTGAAATAAGGTAAAGACTTCCCAGTGTGGTCGGACTTCAGAACCTTGAAAAGAACCGACGACGCGTCTAACTCAGTCTAACTCAGTCTACCCTTGCCAGGGCCCCCGGTTTCGGGGTCTCCAATTATAGATCCTTAGAGGTTAAGGGGTGTCCATTAACCACCCCTTAGGGGGTCCTGGTACTACTTACTGTAAGGGTGTTCATGGGTTTTCCCATTCCCAAGTCCTGAAGCTGAGGCAGTCTCCATCCGGACGGCCCGCCCTCCTCTGCAAACAGTACTGGGTGTGACAAGACGCTCTTCTTCGCGGCGGTGGGGCCGGAATTTAGGCGTGGGACAATGGGGACGATGAGACCCAGCGTGGAAACGCGGTGGCAAATGCAGGGTGAATGGAGTGAGTTTGAGGAATGGAGAATGCTAGTGATCACAATTCCAAATGGATTCTTCATTCAAAGAACCCATTGTTTGATCTGTATTGTGTTGAAGGCTTACAGGCCGGGTCACTACAGCAGGACTCTCAAATCGCGCTTTTTCCATCTTCGCTACGTCCGAGGTGATATCGCCGGTCCCACGTACGCACGGTGTGCACCGTTCGTGCAGGGACACGATGAGAAAGAATGCCCTTCACCTGCATGCAACAGGCCAGTCGGAGCCGCCGCGTACGAAGCCGCGGCCGTCTGGAATGTTAGATGTAGCGGGTCGCGTCGATTCCATGAGTCTGAGGCTCTTTCCTTAGTCGAGTTCGGGTTTGCCCAGTCCCAAGCAGAAACAGTTCGGGATGGAACTCAATATGCCAAGTAGTTGTCCGATCCTTGGTTGGGCCGGGGCTGGGGAAACATCCATGTGTTTCTGGTTGGGACTGGGTGGGATTGGAGTCGCACACTTTTCCGACTTGAAGTCGAAAAGAAACAGGTCTGGCCAGGGCACGCAGGCATGTCAAATTCAAGGACACCCGACCAAGGTGTGCCATGGTATGCCAAAGGTATTTGGGCCATTTTGGACACATCTTTTCAAGAGAAACTGGCGAAGGTCGAAGGATGCGCTTGAAGTCCTTTACTCAGCCGCCATGCCCTGCACTTGCATTCTCCACTCCTGTGTCACGATACCCAAGACCACTCATCGAGCTGGGTTCAACACGCCTGAAGGGTGCAGACGCGCGGCGCACGCGCACGGTCAGTTTTGTCCGGCCTTCATGCGACCATTGGTTATTCAAGCATGGACGAATCAAGCTATTTGGGTCGTGGGTGCGTTTGGTGGTTTATATTTTTTTTCGCGGGTCCCTTTACACCAGAGAACCTAGGTGGAGGATGAGTGTGTGGTCGGTTGGTTCTTGAATTTCATCAGCACCCTAGACTTCCAAGACTATTAAAAACGTGGTTGGCCTAGTTTTGTAGTGTAACATTCTTAGTACAGTTCGGTGAAACCTCTATATAATATATGGGAGTTGATCGAAAACCCCGTGTAAGGAGTTTTATATAAAACAGCCTTTCAGATGTTGTTAGAACCATCCGCGAAAGATTCGCGATGAGGTTCGCGAAAGTATCTTTTTTTTCCGCGAAAGATTTATCGAAGGTCATCGCTTTCATTGTTTTCCTTTCTACCGGACTGACAAAGAATAGAAGGGCAAGGCAATCCTCCGGCAGAGCCAGTGGGTGGAAGTGTCCCCATGTGTCACAGACTAACGAACTGAAGCCTCAACATTTCCGTGCCGAGCCCTGGCAGTGCGTAAAGGATTCTCCGATTCCTGTCCCCACTGTCACAGGCTAGCAATCTGGGTAGGCACAGCCCTGACAGTGAGGCAACGACCTGCAGCTGCTCTGACGGGCTGCGCAGATGTTTGCACATGTTACGGCTTCCCGGGGAAAGCACCAGTGAAATTTCGCGAAAGATCCGCGAAAGTTTCGCGAATGTGCCGCTAAAGTCTAGGTTCCCAGCTTGAGGCCCCCAACATTCCCCAAGCTGTATCACCCTGTGTTGGTAGCTGGCACGAGGATTGGGTTGAGTTGTGCCTGACTCTATTTGGCACAATTGTCGAACAGATGCTGCAAGTGACCCTGAGTAGCTGTGGAAACGTTCAACCATCTACTGGGGTCATGCTGCAAGATGTCTCTCCCTATTTTGTGATACTATGACATGTTCCGGCTCATGTTGGCTAGACATGGTTGTAGGACCATGCTTCGCGATGAGGCCGCGAAAGATCCGCGAAAGATATCTTTTTTTCCGCGATGAATGGCCATTCCAGGATGAACGAATATTGATCAACCACCATATATAGTATATATACAAGTCAATTTTGGGCCAGGTATCCTAGGGAGCACAGAATGGAATCAAATGGCACAGTGTTGGACTATATAGGGAGACAGACGGAGACAACCAGAAATAAGGCGGCACATGCCTGGACCATCCAATGCAATGGACTACACTACTCAGGGGATCTCCACACCCATGCCATGGGATGGTCCTGGTCTAGACCGAACCCTCTTGCTTGGAGGCCCCCCGATGTTCCAAACGAAAGCGTGCTGCCCTGGCATCAGGTGTAGTTGACATCTTCTTCGCCCACTACCGACACTTGGTGGAGCATCTGAAGAGATGGTGGAGCATCTGAAAACCAGTGAAACCCCCAGCCACAGTACATGGCACCAGCTAAGGACAAGACTTAGCAAATTGGCAAAAGGAGCCGAGAGCGGTGAGGGCGGAGCAAAAAGCATTGAACATGAATCTGGACAGTCATTCATGGACTGGTTCCTATCCGCTTTATATAGATGGATATGCCCTCTTTCACCATTCCGTTTCCAAAGCAAACTGAGCAAAAAAGAAACAAATCAACAGAGCGGCCAAAGCTGAAGCTCAACTACATTCACACACCATTTCACCCGAGCCACAGAGAAGCCGACCACCCGGCCACCCATGTCCAACACTGTCCACCCCGCCCCCAAACCCGTCTCCTTCGCATCACAACTCGCCCAGCGTACCGGGTGATCAGTTCTCCAGGAGTCCTGGTACCAGGAGACGGTGAAGTACAGCGTGTCGCCCCACGGTGAAGTACAGCGGACCGCTGGTCGGAGGTCGGCAGGTCGGGGCCGTGCAGGACGCCAAGGAAGGCACCGGTGGGTCGGCACACGGGGTCGAGCACGGGGGGCTTCACCCGTTTTCGGGGTGGGCCAAGGTGCCAAGGATGAAGGAAACCTGTTCTTTTTGGGGGATTGGGGTGTAGGGTTTGGTCCGATCTGGGTGAATCTGGCAGGAAGAAGTTCATGGTAAGGAATCGGTTTGGGTGTGCTAAGACCATTTCAGCAGGGTGCCAATGTTCGGCACCATGCCAAGCTGTTGTCATCTCAGGTATAAGGAGATGAAAGCTGACTTCGTACTGAAGGAGCTTGTGAAGCAAGAGACCTTCAGACTCTTGACCGACCTGGTCGATGGGGACGGAAAACACCTCCCTCTTCAGAGTGGAAAACACCTCCCTCTTGTACTCCACCTGAAAAGAGAAAGAGAGCTGTGATTTCTGTTGGGCCAGGGGTCGGCCCCGCTTCAGTGGATTCCGAAGCCACGAAGCCTCTGGCAGGGTGTCACCCGGTTTGGCCTGGAATTGGAACCACTGGGCACCAGCGATTTCTGGGTTTTGCATTTTCTGGGCAGCAGGGTGTCTAGGTTTTTTGGGAACCACCATGTGGCCTTTTTGGATCTGGTCAAACAAGAAACTGAAGCCCAGAATCTCACTTTCTGGCCTGACCACTTGGACTCTCTAAGCAGTTAACAGTTCTCGAGGCTGACGGATGCCACTGCAACAGAGGAACCCTTGCATACTACCGCAGCACCGTAGAGTACTCAGTAGAGGCCCCAAAATTGGTGGATCAGCGTCGGAGGCAGGCTCCCACAAGCTTTGAGTGGTCCTCAACTGGGAGATCTAATTACTGTAGTTCCTATAAATTTGGTGAAATCTAACTTAACCCTTACTTCCCTTGAACAGAAGGAATTCCCGATGTTTTTCGCTTCCAGCGGCGCGAAGCGCCCACTCGACGAGCGAAGTGGACATCACTGGACCATGGCATTCCGATCCGAGCGAAGTGGCAAACAGGGTGAAGCGACCAACAGCCATCATGGTGAATTGGTCAGAGTGGAAGGATGAGAGGCCCCTTTCTATCATAGTCATGAGTCATAATCATGATAATCAGAGGTTAATGAGACAATCCAAGAAAGGTGCAATTCTTTTGGGGGGAATGCTCCATGTTCTAGCCTTTAGAAGAAGGCATGCGGCTTGCTTGCATGTTTGCTTCACCCACCGAAAAACCGGTGCTAGTGGATATCTTCTGGTTTTCGATCGCATCGAGAAAGACAGCGAGAAAAGGCCTGCGTCTTCCAAAGCCAATAGTCCTTGTTGGTTGCAGGAACTTGCTCACTTTTGGGCAGCCGTCCCGCTTCGGGGTCTCGATCTTCGAGTATCTTCAAGATTCCCAATGAACACAGGGAGCTCGTCTCGAGCCCATCTGGTGGGACCAGTGACCCCGAGAAACGACGAGGACGTGGAATGCGTATTCGTTCGAACGCAAGGGACCTATAGATACTACTGGACCCCCACAGGAGCCAGTTGTGAGAGGACCTACTGACCATTTGCTGGCGAATTCAACGAAATCGACATCATCCCTGACCCCAACTGATCTGACTGACCCAGCTGAGGACTGAGGGGCTATTGTTGGTATTGGATCGCAGATGATAATGTCGACTTCACCTCCTTGGATGTGAAGCGATTCCTGGCAGGTGAGCGGACTAGCTCAGGCTGGATGCTGCAGGGAGGCGAAGTAGCTCAGGAGTATTGGTATAGTGTGGAAGACCCCACAAGCTTGGCTTTTTCTTCATGAGATTAATATTTAAGCAGATATGATAAGCAGATCCAATACATGGTTCGTTTGCTTTTTCATGGTTCGTGGGATGGGCATGCCTGGGCAACATTGCTGAGCATGTCTGCAAACAATTTGTATGTTGTATATATAATAATATATAGATCAACTTATAGACCAAACCCCAGACCAGACGATTGACCAGCTTTCAGCTCAGTATCGGCTGTAGGTCCAATTGCCGCTGTACACAAGCATAGGGTGCAGCAAAACCATACAACACATCAAAAACACCAAACATGGGGAGATTGACCGACATTGCCATGCGCGGCAACGTCCGTGATCGAGATTTACTCGCCCACCCTTGAAGCTGAAGCTTCCCATCAGTGAGTCCGCTTCTTCGTCCACTGGTGTTAGAATGGTCTTTACCGAACTACATCGAACAACCATGTTCAACCATTTTCAACCATTCATGGTCCAGAAGGCTTCACGCGCTTCTAGGGAAGCCTCTTCCTTTTCCAGGTCCTTTTCCAGTTCCCCGAAGTCGGGGGGGGCGCGCGGGGTTCGTCTTCCGATCTCCGATCGAAAGGCGATCGGGCGACGTCTGGTCGCGGCCGAGGATACTTGGCTCTGGCGGCCGAGACGGGAGCCAGTCTGGTGCAGCCCGCCGTCGCGCGGTTGGAGGGACAGGACAGGGAGGACCGTCTCCCGCCCCCCTCTCGGGGGCGAGTCGGACAGGGCGGAAATGGCCATTTCCGGTGCTGGGAGAACAACGATGCCGACATCCGCCGCGGCGGAGGTAGTGCAGGGATGATGTCGGCAAGAATCCACTGACCCGATGAAAGGGAGGTTCCGTGTGTTTAGATGGTTGAAGATGCCTATGTGTAGCAAGACGTGCGTCACCAGCTAGCTGTACAAGGCTGTCACTGCCCTCCACTGTCAAAGTGGCGACTTCATGAGCTCATCAGCTTGATCTCCCATCATGAAAGCTTCATCAAGCTCCCGTGGTGACCCGGTGGCCATGTGTGAAGCCAATGTTTTGGATGGGGCCGCGATGAAAGGGAAGTCCTGCCAAGGTTCTGCACATCCTCAGGTTTTGACTTTTGCTGTGCTCAGTTCATAGGAACACCTGATGTGAGACAAGCCTTCATTGTCCTCAAGATTCTCCTGACCACAATCGTTGTGTCCCTTCTAGGAGACCCTCCAAGCTATCGGATGGCCCACTGCTTTTGCTGAGGGAACGAACCGGTGGATTTGCAGGATGTTGCCAGTCTTTTTGCCATCCAAACTTGCAAAGCCTTTAGCTTTCGCCCTCAGGTGGAATTCGACAGCCACGGCATCCCGTCACACCAAGTTCCGCATCCGCAGTGAGAGCGAACATGCCATGTGCCACGTTCCACGGAGGGAAACGACTTTCAAGAGATTAACATGGCACATCATGGCACCCGAAAACCACTTATTTGTGAAACATCTTTTTCCAGGAGTCCTAGATTCAAGGTATTGCGTATTGCGTAGATGCACTTCTTAGCACCTCTTTGTTTGGGGGAGATCGCCTCCACCGGGCTTAGCTTCTTGTTACTAGTAGCGATGGCCTCCAACCTAATGCGATGGCCTCCACCTAGTAGCTTCTTGTTAGTGTTTTTCTGCCCAGAACTTGAAATGACTCATCTTACTCCACCTAGTATATAGTCATAATCCACTACCATAGGGGTAAAATGAGTCATTTGCACTCTCAGGGCTGCATGTATGTGATTGTGGTTGAATGTGTGATGTGTGCTTCACCCTCCACGGTGTTTTCTCTTTGAAAACCGAGATTGTGACGGCCTACTCTGCAGACGTGGAGTTACCAGACCATTCCATCAGCTACTTGGAGGGATGGGGTGGTTTCCAGGGTGATACGCGTTCGATGACAGTGAAAGAAGGAAAGGGAGAGAGGGTGCCATACTCTACTGTTCTAAGCCCTTTTGGTTCATTTTCGGGATTCGCGAAAAAACTAAACGTAAAACTCTGACAGGATCTAAGAGCGGGGCTGAAGAAGAAACATCGAATGGGTATATATGATATCATAGTGAACCATCCCTAGTTCTTCGGAAGCCAATGAAAGTCTTTAGATGCTTCGGTTCTGAAATAAACACGGAAGTGGATGGTCCCAGATTTCGGAAGACCGTTTTCCAAGAACCAAGCAGTTTTTGTCCATCCGCTTCCATGATGAGTTCAGGGGTGTCCCACAAAAACTCAGAGGGTACAGGCACTTCCTCAACCTCGGTCAAGAAGGGTTGCTTCGTACTTCCATTTCAAAGAGTTTTTTGCTCAAGAAACGGAGATTCGATTCGGATGCAAATCGCAAATCAGGCACTCTCTGTCCCTTGGGCCTTTTTTCAGCCTCCTGCCCACCTGGGGCCGGTCGGGTCGCCGGTCAGGTCGAAGCCTCTATCGGTATTCGGACTTTGTGGAGGCGAAGCGGGGGAAGAGTGGAGGGATTGAGAAGAGCCAACTGCATGTCGAGACCAGAAGGAATATGGATTTGCGAAGAAGATCTGGTTGGAACAAGGTCACGAGGTTGGAGGTGTTTTTCGTGGCTTTGGATGGGAAGAGTGGGCGAGGATGTTTGTTCGTCCCCGGACACTCCATGGGACTGTGTACCCCGGAAACCACCCCAAGGGAGGTCAAAATTAAGGGCCTTCAAAATCGCTGGCGATCGATCGGGGACACAAATCCGAGGATTCAACAGCCACAGGAAGGTCCAGCTACGGAGTGTTTGGGATTTGTTGTTCCTTTGAATCAATAACTTCCAGTGCTACGAAGTGCTCAACGGGCAATCGTGTGCTACTTCGCCCGCGTGGTGCCGGGGAAACACCACCTTGTCATGATGAATGTTGAGTATACGGAAGACAACGAAAAGAGGTGGTTGGTTGGATCATAGAAAACAAGGAACGGTTGGATGTTGGTACTATCTACAGTGGAACCACTGTTGACTCAGTTCCTACAGTAAGCATATAATGTTAGGCAGTACAACCAGTAGGCACAAAGTTGGAGCTGGTACAGACTGGAGCTGTGTTCAGGAGCAAAGAAGTTTAGGACACGGCGCAGGGGAGTGCCAACGACTTACAAACAAGCAATCATTTTAGGAGGATGTAGGGGGAGTCCTTTTGGTTTGTTGGCTGGGAAATCCAAGGGTTTTGGAATGATGAGAGCTCCCTCCAGGCAGGATGGTTGGTGTCGAACTCCTTGTTGATTCTATCGTTTTCCTCAACACTAGAGTCTAGAGGTGCCCCAATCAATCGAAATCCCACAAACCGTTCCGCGCCGGGCCGCTGCCGGCATCGACCAAACGCGCTAGCCACGAGCTGCTTTTGATGACGCACGGCGCAGGTGATGTCTCCGCTCTTCCGGGAAGACGCTCTGATAGCCGCCTGGAAGCTCTACCTCCCAGGCCTGGTTTTGCGGTATCGCATGATGTTCCCGGTTCCTGACTGAATCGCTTTTGAAACTGTGGAAGACCGGAAGATTGGTTCTTTTGTTCCCTGGTCTGTGGAATCCGCCCAATCCAAGGAGCCTGATTTTTTTTCTCAAGGAAGGAGCACCGGCCAGGGTCACAACTGGGAAACCTCTCTGGGACACCTGAGTCACCTGAGGTCTGGAGACACCCGAGACACCCTGAACCCTAAAACCTGAACCCTAAGACCTGAACCCTAACCCTGAGCTGATGCGATCGAACCCGGCACCGAAGTGACCCGGAACTGCTGACCCGGAACCGATGAACAGGCGTAATTGTGATGGTGACCCTCAGGCTTCACGCCGCGCTTGGATTGATCTGCAAAAACTGCCAACGATTTGGAAGATCACGAAAGCTAGCGAAGCTAGCTGGAGTTACTCTTGCGATAGCAAGGTTTCTTTCGACCGGGTGCAAATCCTAACCCCTGATTTTTCAGGTCGAAGACCCCCCCCCCC